CTGTGCAACCAGCTGACATGCATAGCGGCCTGACTGAAGCCGAGCATAGACTTTCATTCGTAAACAAGCCATATGTCGTCATGCAGCCTTTAAGTCTATAAGGGAAAGTGAACGCAAAGCAGAGCTTCACTGTGGTGCTGAAGCTTCCAAGAATAGGAACAGATTTCAGAGCCTGATTGGGGATAAACTGTGATTTAGTCTTTAGAGCCACAGTCCACTCTGCCCCTAACACCCACTTTCTCCCCTGCCACAGTAAGGAAACACATCACAGATACTGACACGCACACCAGCAGTTATCAATGTTTTTTCAACTTTTAAACTTCAAGATGTTAAAGAAATTTGATGGCACACAGATTTTAAAAACATAAAATATAAAGTATATCCTAAGAAAAAATATAGCTTTATTAGCATATTTCGTTATGTAAGATGGTTGTCAATGGCCACCAAAATGTATATCTGGCTTTATTCTGGTTTTACACGTACAATGTGTGACCAAGGGCTATCTGCATTGACAGAATCAGTGAATGAAGCAAAGCACTGTGCATATATTGTATTATACTTTAACTTTTTTCACAGAAAAACCAACAAAGCTTCTAGTACACATTATACACGTTAAAGGAAACTGTAGTCTGTGCAAAAATATATATAGTCAATTTAATCAGATTCATGTTGGGGAATTCTGAAGACTGTATCTGAGAGATTATTGCTTTAACACCCAACCTTTGCACAAAAGTGACTCAGACTGTAGACGATTCAGTTTGCTTTTGATGGGTATTTGTGTCGATCACCTGTTTTTTTTTTTTTTTAATAATAGCTAAGAAAGTGTGATTTTTCATCTCCGTAATTGATACATTCAGTCTACTGTACCATTAATGTAGTTTGTTAAAAACAAAGAGAGACATTTTAAGACTGTGTCAAAACATCGCACAAAAAGTAAGGAAATTTGGCAAGTTTTTCATGGGTGCAACCCACATGCTCAGCTCTGCTGCTTATCCCACAAATGCATGTTCCTTACAAATATGGCAGCATTTAAAAGGGAAATAAACAAGTTTTCCAACGGTTTGAATTTAATGCCAAGAAGCGTTTTTACAACAAAGAAATAACATACCAGATACAAATTTCCTTTCTTTTGTGCAATGTTTAGAAACAATATATACATTTACTGAGCATTTTTTACTATTTCTCCTTTAATCAATACTGCATTTTCTGAATGTTATCAAATGTATATCTTCAAGTCTGATAAGTAAACACTGCAGCTAAAACAGAAATAACCATGAGAAGTTTAATATTATTTCTTTTCAGACTGATACTTCTGCAGAAATCAGAGACCTGTCATCTGCTGCTGTAGTTTTCTGTTAGCTGCAGGAAGCGGACATAAAAGATCAGAAATCAAGGCTTACTGACCAGCAACACAAAGCTTACCATACAGTCAAATCCCAGCAGATGCTAGAGTGCTACAGTGAGCATGTTACGCGCTGATCAGAGTCACATGATACTCCTAATCCTGTCTGTCAGACGTGGTATTTTGACTTGTTGTTTAAGTGGATAAAGGTGTTATCAAAACCATTGCTTTTATATGATGTGTATTGTTGACTACCTCTCCACTCTGCTTTAGTCTAGCTTGCTTCTCCTTTGGCTCCATCATCCATGCAGCTGTGGAAAGTGAAGTGCTTGACATTCAAGACTCACTCTTGAGATGCAGTTCTCTGTCTTGCACAAGTGATCACTAAAGCATATGCAAGATGGTATGTTTCCACTCTCCTGTTAATTCTGTGTTTGGCCTCCTGATATTTCAAAGGATATCGGTTTTTTTTCCCCTGGAATGTATCTGAACTCTATGAAGATAATAAAATTCTCCATCTTGACATTAAGGTCACAGAGTTATTTTCTGTTTCTTGGCTGATTGGTATAAATTATATCTATAAAACCAGGAGACATGAGTCACAGTTTACTGAAAAGGTCACAGTTTATCAGACTGATGAGGACTGAGGAGGTTATGGAGACTCTTGAATATAAGATCAGTGAGTTCTTTTATTATTCCACTTTCATATTTCTTTTCACGTCTTTCACACACAAGAGACTTATGTTCAGCACTCCCCCGCAATCTCTTTAAAGCTCAAGTGTGCGCACACAGCCAGCGAGACATTTAGTTTTAGAATCTGTTCATTGCAGAAATCTTTCATTACTTTTTCTCGTTTTTTTTTATTGCTATAGCCTAGAACATATCCAATCCTTGCAATGAGAGCTGAAGGGGCACAGAGACGTTTCGAAAGAGTTTAATGAAATATCTGCTTCCAGGCTCTTTTAACACTTGAGGCTTGAGGGTTTCTCTTTCAGGGCTTTGTTGCTGTTTCCCTCTTTTCCCTCAGGTGCTGAGCAGAAATTAAGGGAAGGATCTGTACACAGGAAAGCAATGATTAAGACCTGATGTTACCATGCTGCATGTTTCATGTTATCTCCTGCGCTTAGATATGATAAATTAGGTTTTAAGGCTTCCAGTGACAATTTAAATACAACTAGGGATGCCATTGGTTCCTATTTCTTTGTGTGTATGACTCACTAGAGCCAACTAAAAGCTGTGCTAATACTGTGCACTGAGGATTATATTTTCTTCTTAATTGTGATTTATTTGGGTTATTTAAAACAGAGTGTCAAGTTTTGCAAAATTCCAACATTTTGGATGGGCCACCAGCAAATCAAGAAATCAGAAATGAATATCATAATATATAGTCATAAACTATATTGCAGCATGTCAGCTTGCAATAAAACAGTTCAATCGCTTATTGACTTGTCTTATTACCCCAATAGACTACAGTGTAAGAGAAGTCCATGGTGAAATATGTTTCACATTTCAAATCATCTGCTGCACAGCATTGTTCTCCATGTCAGGATTATGTGCTATAAGCAGTGAAGAATTTACATCTTAATCCTTAATCTTCTTAGCAAACTTCAGATGCTTAATTAGAGACTCCATTCAACAGAACACACACACAGGCAATTCAGCATTCTTACTTACTGTAGTTATAAGTACTTTCCAAAGTGATAATTAACTCTACTTTATTAGAAACTTTCCATGTGGCGCTCAGAAGAGAAAGCACTCTGTATTAACATTTTTCAGAGATCAACCCTGACATCAATTTTATTTGTACATGTAAAGGAAGCAGTGTGGAGCCCAGACCAGCTCCAAACCCTGCTGACATTGAAGTATTTGAAGGATTTGAAGTATTTGAGTATTTGAAGTATTTTGTATTTATTAAATATTACACTTTTTCTAGAATGAAGTGCATTAATTGGATTTTCTCTTCTGCCAAGAGGGCAGTTCATTACTGTTTCTTCATTGAAAGGACGGCCCATGGATGGAAAACAATGTTTATACAGGAAATGCGCTTAATCATATTTTCTTCACAGAAAGGGCAATGTAGAGAGCCCTTAATCTTATTTTCAACCCTGAAAGGTCACCTTAGAGGAAGCTTTGTAACATTTTTCTCATCTGGAATGTCACAGAGCTTCATCATATTTTCTCAACTGGCATCTCTGAGGGAATTTTTTTCTCAAATGCAAGGGAACCCGAGTGGACAATTCATCTCCAACCTTTTTTCCTTGGAGCCCTCCTACTTGTATCTAAGAAAAGCTGCCCGCCCAAGGACCAAGCAGAAACCTCCCGTGTTGAAAAAATGGCCAAATGCAGTTCCATTAGTGTCCACTTGAGGCTGGCTCCTACAGACCCTGAAGTCCTGTACACACCTCATATTAAAATGTTTATGTTGACAGCAGAAATAAACGTGTTTACAGTCTGGTAAAAAAAATAGCCTACATTTTAAAAGTGTCCATGTCTGATTCATGTCTTCATCAGCACACAAGGTACTAGGCATGAAATTTTTGATTTTATGAAGGATGCCTTTTTTTACAAGCCTATGGAAAATGGAAAAAGGATGACGCCTTTTCAAAAAGCGCTGCGCCCGACGCCTTTTTCAGTTGAATTATTTCAACTTTTCTGAAAAGCGCTGGGTGACGTCAAGCGCCTTTCTGACAGCTGACCAATCAGGACGAGTAGTAACCTATACGTCCCTAGTTACCGGTGCCCAAAAAGATGTCATGCACCCAAAAACGGTGAACTTCCACCAGATATGTGTGCATTGCGTGTCCGTTACGGGTACCCATGCATCCTCATCCGTCAACACCCACCGGCTGCGTTCTCAGTCTACAGCACGGAGAGCACAGCCGGACAGCTGGAGTACGGAGACAGTCCATGCTATATACAGTCCATGCCATGGACCCACATGGGAAAAAAAGTGATGCACTGTTTTCACAATTGGGAACCAATAACCATTTCTCCACCAAGTCTTACATGGTAAGTTAAGTTTAGATTAAGTGGAAGAACTTCAAATATTAGCTCTTGTTTACTTTTTCTTATTAGTCAATTACCTTAGCAATTTGAGTTTGTTTTGCCTGCTTATAAGAACTTATAAAGGGTGTATTGTGATTGTCATTCTAACCATAGCTGAAGGGTTCTGGATAAACTTTTTTTTTTCCTGGAGTCGACTGTGTCTTAAATGTTAGGGTAGGTTTAGGTTAATAGTGGAAACGTTTTTTTTTTTTTAAATGAAACAAAATACAGCTTTTGAATGGCTTTAGTGTACTGTGGTTGAATATTTCTTTCTAAATGCTAAATGTTGGGACTCTGATACTTAGGCTTTGATATTTATGTTCACTTATCAACTACTCTTCTTGCAATAAAATACACCTTACTGTTGAACTGATAGGTTCTGTATATTGTGTTTGTGTGTGTGTGTGTGTGTGCGTGTGTGTGTGCGTGTGTTCCTTTTGGTATCCCTCGCGTCCCACCTCCCTGCCGTTCGGCCAATCAGAGCACAGATCGGCCGTTCGGGCCTCGCAAACGTAGAGCAGCAGAATCAAGAGGGCAGAGCAGGGAGACAGTGGGGGAGGGTCACGTGTGTACACAGTGTGGGGCTCAGCAGCACTCCAGCAGCAGTAGTAAAGTCTATAACGGACTGCCCCCTTTTTCAGAACAAGCCTGCTCTGAAAAGTTGATAGAGGATGTCCGTCTTCACCGACGTGCAGTAAAACGATCTATTTTTTTTTTTTTTTTTTTTTTTTTTTCTACACCGTTGTGAGGCTTTTATACGAGCGGAGGAGAGCCGAAGTGCGTATTTCGGAGCGTGTGTTTGTCAAATGAAACGAATGAGAAATGGCAGTGGTAACGCTACATCCAAACCCTATACCTCCGTAGGTTAAACCCAAAGCGTTTACGTTTCTGGTGAGTTTTTCCTTTTCTCTTTTCTATCATTTCGTCCGCAGGCTTGTGGCGTCTTTTCGTTTCATTTTTAAGTGAGTGGTAAGTTCAAATTGCCCTCAGTGAAAAGACTGCTTGAAAAAAGCGAGTGGGTAACTTTGGCTGTAGTTGCGGCAACAATAGTCTGCAGAAATGGCAGAATAATGGTGGAGCCGTGACAGCTATCCACGCTTTGATCTGTGCAGTCAAGTGTGATGGAGAGACACAGTGCCCGCAATAATAAATAGAGAGAACAACAGTGCTGCTGTTGTCCTAAAAGTGCTCCAAAAAGCTGTAGGAGCGTCACAGCTTTTAACGACTGCTTTATTATTGGAAAACTACACCTGAGGATTTTTTTTTTTTTTTTTTCTCACGGGATCATCTTTCTGGTGCTCAGAGAAGTTACATCAGAGACAATCAGGCGTCTTTCAAGTTGACGCTCCTTTAGTCAGCCCATATCTTTTTGTCATGACGTCTGCTATTGGGACCTCAAACTTATTGTATGTCACTGTGGGTCTGTTGATTATAAGCACTGTTTTGATGACGGAAAAAGAGAGAGAGAGGCAGCCATGTTTACAGAATCAGAAAATGTCTGAATGTCATTTGTCACCTCAAATCCCACGTCGTCAAATATGTTATAACTATTGATTTGTATTCATTTATAAAACACCAGACCAGTAAAAGCTTAAAAAAAACAACAACAACTTGTGATTACTGTGAAATAACTTTACAATAAGAATATGTTATAACAGATGATCCCTTTAGTTTCTCAATAGGACATCACATCCACCTGACTGTATATCACATCAAGCTGAGGAAATGCTTCTTCTCTCTCTCTTTTTTTTTTTTTTTTTTTCCAAATATTTGCTTATTGAGATTAGCCTCTCCACTTGATGTCCTCAACTTCATCCCATGTGACTGAATGGGACACGGGGCATGTGTGCCATGGCTTAAGGGTAGTAAGCCTGCTTTGTGCTGACCATTGAACTCTTGACTTTGTTGATGCCTGTGACAGTTCAACATGTCGGCCTGTAAGAGGCTGAGGAAGCTGTCCAGACCGACCGTGACCCATGACTGACCAGAGTCTGTTACGCTCAAACTTGATTTGACAAAAAAAAAAATGTAGTTTTTTTACCTTCGCCATTCTGCTGAGAATTGCTGAACATTCGGATCACCAAAAGTGGAGATCTGAGGTTCTTTGGGGTTAACAAGTCAAGATTTGTAGATGAACAGATTAATATAAGAAGGACAGAAGGCAGACAGGTGATCTATATTTACAGTTTGCACAAAATCAGAACTTGCCAAGATACTTGTGAAAAATCCAAGTTATCTAGCCTTCATAAAAATCCATCTCTGTGACTCATTTCTCTGGAAGCTGACAATGGTTTGGAAAGAATTACATAAAAGGCCTAGTCAAGTATTTTTATCCCCTCGGAGAGCTTAGCAATTTCAATTTGCAAAATGTTATGCAGCATTAGCAAGCACCTGAAGTCAGAACTCTCATTATTGTGCGGCTTTCCAAGAATAATAGGCAGCTAATGAAGGCCTGTAACAAGAAATGAAGGATGTTATTGAATGAGTCAACATACTTGATTACAAGAAGATTGTGTGCATCAAGTGTCATTGTGTAACACTTGTCTCAGACATTGCTGCATATGTGAGGGGAGGGGGGGGGGGTCACAACATGTGTATAACTGTGAGTCATGTAGTCTTATTTTCTTACTGTTGTTTTTTCTTTTTTCTTCTGTTGCTGCTCCACTGAACACATGCTGCCGACTGACACGAGTATAGCCAATCATGTGACATCACTCTTTTCTACTTTCTGAGAAGCGCCTGTAAATTCCAGAAAGGGTATATGAGGGGTGTGGGCCCAGCATGTCACACTATTCCCATCAGCACGAGATCTGGCTTCCAAACGCTGAGACGTCAAGCATGTGGGGCGTCACTGCTACGAGATCATGTTTTTTTTTTTTTTTTTTTTTTTTTGGTGGGGCTGAACTGAAGCATGCTGAATTATTCCCCCCCCCCCACCACCCCCCACCCCACCCACGCCGGCAGTATTTAATGTAACTACTCCTGACATGGAGCAGGGCAAGAAGTTCAGAGGAGGCTTATCCAAGCCTACGACTGCAGTTAGAGTTATGCAAGAGACACCAAACAAGGATTATTTGTCAGACTGTTACTAAGTATGTCCACACGAGCTCAGGTATTTGAATTGGATCGGTATCAGAAAGGGGGAAAAGCATTCTTGTATCTCTAATGTAAAAGCTTTTTTTGCTTGGGGCCCAAATTTGATTTTAATATTTGATTTTGATATTTGTGTGACCCTACTCTAGAATGATTTGTGTCCTGAATATTTAATGGACTCAGTAGAGAAGCTTTTTTTGTTTTGAATGATTGACTGAAAAGTGTGTTTTTAAATGCAGGAATAAACCAAACCCAGAAAGTCTTAAACCGAATAGAATTGGGCTACTAGGTTACAGCCATGCAGTGGTGGGACTAACGCGTTAATAAGCAACACACTATTTGGGGTAACTAGTCACAGATCGGTTACTTTCCAGATTCAGGAATTACTGACATTTAAAAGCCATTGTTACTTTATTTTGAAGCAGCCAACAACAAGCGAGCAAAGTTCCGCACAGTAGCGAAACCCTGGGAGAAAGAACGCTGCGCGCTGTAAACAAACACAGGCATGAGATCATTCAGCTGTGAGCTTTCTGTCTCGGAAATACCTCCTTTATCTGTCCCCGCTCGAGCAGGAAGGCAAACTTCTCTCACAAAAAAAAGGAAGCTCCGAGCTAAACAACAACAACACGCTTCGACTAAACTAGCTGCCAGGAAGCCCGTGGCTGCAGACACCAGAGACCTATAGGTTCATCTGATGTTAGCTCGGCAGACCGAAGGAAAGACCCTCCATCCAAACAGCCGGCTTGATTTAAAACACCTCCTGCTCCGTTATCTGTAAACCAGACTATAGGCTGATAGACGGGTATGTTGACGGCGACGTGCTTCTTATCAGATGTTGAGTCTGTTGCCTTCAGAGATCTAATCGGTAAAATACCTACAGACTGAAAATGACTAGTGTTATTTGAAATGTGCGAGTTGTCGGGGCACTATTTTGCCATAGCAACCCTAAACAATGTGAACGTTAACGTGAGGATTAAAGCAAAACAAAGTAACACTAAAGTTTCTCTGCATTTTTAGAAACGTTGACCACAGCTTACTAAAGATGCCTCAGGTAAATCCCATTGCTTGTTGAATGCATTCGTCTCGCTTGTGTGTGGAGCGTATCTCTGACCTTCACCCTAACCCCCGACAACATCCCCTCCATCAGCACTTTTATCAGAATCTGAAAATGCATCTGAAGTCAAACAGTCTTCATGACCCTGCATGCACACAGACACAGACTCTCCCACGTAAGAGGCCAAAGACTCTCACTCAGGGTTTGACATTTCTTCTCTCTCACCTCCTGTTTGTTTCTCAGCTGTGTGGAAGAAGTCACGATTTCATTATCATGGGCAGCTGGTAAAGTGAGCAGAGCTACAGAGTGCTCTGACTCTCACACCAGAGTATAGACAGAACAAAGATAAAGGTGGCTGTACACATGCTTTAAACTCTGATTTGAAATATTTGTATTATCTACTGAGCGAGCGTTCCTTCTTTTAAAAGTTACAACTGGCTCCTTTATGTTTTAGTTAATAGCAGTTCTGTATCCAGGCATCACAACTGTATTGTTCCCTTAAAATACTAGTTCAAATAAAGCAACCACAAGAGTTGTGTTTTAGAAGAAGACCCTGATGGTTCAGCATGATATCGTGTACATATCGCATTTCCGTCATTTCCAGTCAGTGCATGGGGGAGATGTCAACATGATAGTTTCCACTGCTCAGCTTCTGTTCATCCGACATGAAGAAAAAAAAAAAAAAAAAAACCCCGCCATGGTGTTAGATTTCTTGTGTACTTCTTTTGTGGTTTTCAATGTCTTGTGTGAAATCCTTTGCTAATCAGTTTGTATAGAGATGCTTGGGGAAAAAAAGGAAGTGTTTGGAAACTCCAAAAGTCACCACAAAGCCCATGACTTGTCTATAATGCAGAAATGTGACTATCCCGCAGCTATCACAGTCTGCACAGCGAGCTGCTGTGGTAATGACAGGGTGGCTGAAATGTCTGTATTACAGCAGGTGCTAATGAATGGGGGACAGGCGGCCGCAATGCACCACGCTCTCTTTAATTAACACCCAACTTCTCAAAAAGTCATTTTCTCCTTAAGTGATCAGAGGTTGTTGGATGAAAGACGGCCCGGGGCGAGTAATAAATCTTTCAAACATCACAGTCCGGGAAAAGTGTCTTTTAAGAGAGGACCAAAGCTAATCGTGCTCTGTTGTCACAGCTTTTTTTTTTTTTTTTTTTTGTAAATAAATGAGTCACCAGGCTGCTTGTGTGAGGGAGCCATGTTTACAAGAGGTCTGGCCACTGTCTTCTTGTGTAACTTTACACTTTCCTCCTCCTGATCCTGTTCCAGGCCAGCTCTGAGCTCCAGCCTCCACTATAGTCTCATTACAGCCAATTGGATTAGTACACAGGAGGGACTGAGCGCTTGTGTGTCTGTGTTTGTGTGTGTCTGTGTGTGTCTGCGGCCAAAGCAGCCCCTCTGTAGTAGTGGTGTTACGTAAGTGAACAGAGGACCGTTTCCCCTTTACTGGCATTGTTACTCAACCGCCTGAAAACAAAGCGGACCTCCTGCACTTTGTTCCACAGTGATTTCACGGGGGGGGGGGGAATTCAATTTTGTTTTGTAAAGTTTGTTTGCTGTTTGGACATCATTCCTTTGAAACGCAGCTTTGAGAGTGTAGCCAAACAAGTGGCGACACCAATGCTACATAATATCCGCGACGAAGTAAAACACTGTGAACGTCAGGGGATTTATCCTTATTACCCTTTGATAGTAAAAAAAAAAAAAAAAAAAAAAAAAGATTCAAGATGACCTCATTATACAAGGAGTGTTATTAAAACCTGCAGCTCCATCAGGCTTGATACGAGTATGCTTCAGACATGTGGATCATTTTCTTTGACCTTGCCCTGAACTCCCAACCCCCGACCAGGTCGTCGCTGACCCTCCGCCAGAGCCTGCTTCACATTTCACTCTTTATAAATCTACCCATCACCACGTGCCAAACCGCCCCCCCCTCTCGTGTGGCTGTAATCTCAACACAATGTGCATGTGCTTCACTCAGATCAGTAACACCCCCCCCCCCCCCCCCCCAGGAGTCTGCAAAGTGTCCGGCTAAAGACGTGTTTTTTTTTCTTCATCTGGTTGCTTCACACTTAACTGGCCAGGATGGCTCTCAAACAGAAGTGTTGTGTTTTGAGGCTGAGCCAGCAAATGAAAACATATTGTGGGGCCGTTTGTTTTCAGCCAGTCAGATGCAGCGGAGTGAAATAAACAGTGTTACACGGTGCATAATAGCCTACGTGTTTTTGCGTCAAGGTCTCCCTCCCCTGATAGCAGAGAAGCAGAATTCTGCTCACGGCCGAAGAAACAAATCCACCTTTTGTTTAATTCTCTTTGAGACTTGCTGAAACTTTACACACGTGACGATTCCTACATTTAATGCGAGCAACACATAGATTTGTTACCTCTATTTGTGATGCCTGATCATATAGTATAAAGCAGAAGCGTTATTAAGTGACTTATCATCCGGGATTTGAAACCCTCAGTTTTAAGTGTCTATAAAGCCGCATATACCCTCGCCTTATTTATGACAGGTCATTTGTAACCACTCTGACATTTAACTAACCTCTGCTCTCTCTCTCTGCCTGCAGTGGACCCGTTGAGAAACTTGGCCCGTGTCAGAGCCCAGCAATGTGGATCTGCATGGTTTACAATGAGACGGACAGCAGCGTGGACTTCCGGCTCTGCCAGGACTACGGCCTCATCCTGTCGATCTTCTCCCTCATCTACCTCCTGGTGTGCTTCCCGTTGGGGCTGTGCTACAACGTTCTGCTGGTCGCGGTCAACCTCTCCAACAAGGTGTCCATGACCATGCCGGATGTTTATTTCGTCAACATGGCCATCGCGGGACTCGTGCTCAATGTGGTGGCGCCCGTGGAGCTGCTCAGCTCCACCTTCACCCGCTGGCACGCGTGGGAGTACAACAACGAGGTCTACATCACCCTGCTCATCCTCTTCAACATCTCCTCCCTGGTCATCATGTATTCCACCACGCTGCTCAGTCTGGACTACTATATAGAGCGGGCGCTGCCTCGTACATACATGTCCAGTGTGTATAACACTAAGCATGTGTGCGGGTTCATCTGGGGCGGGGCCGTGCTCACTAGTTTTTCTTCGCTGCTCTTCTACGTGTGCAACCACATCTCCACTAAGATGGTCGAGTGCTCGAAAATGCAGAACAAGGAGGCGGCAGACGCCATCATGATGTTCATTGGCTACGTGGTTCCAGCCGTGGCCGTCCTTTATGCCTTTGTGCTTATTTTGCGGATCAGGAAGGAGTCTACACCTCTGGATCAGGACTCTGCCCGCCTGGATCCTTCTATCCACAGACTGCTGCTAGCCTCCGTCTGTGTGCAGTTTGTGCTGTGGACCCCGTACTACATGACCCTGCTGGTGCACACTGTAGCTGGCGCACCGGGGTATATTAGCAACGCACAATACCTACCTACATATTACTTCCTGAGATGTGTATCCAAACTGTTGGCTTTCTCCAGCAGCTTTGCGATGCCTCTCATGTACAGGCAGATGAACAAAAACTTCTCCAGCAAGCTTCAGCGCCTGCTCAGGAGGCTGCACTGCAGAGACCAGTCCTGCTCCCACGAACGCTCCACAGTGCAGCAAGTGGTCACGTGAGAGCTACACCTGTGGGGGGGGGGGGGGGGGGTCGCAAACGCTCCCACCCACCCCTTTTTCCAACCTCTTGGCCTAACCCCCCCTCCCCCGTAGGGCCAGTATCCAACTGGGCTTCCTCACCGCTCTGGACTGTGTTAAGAGGGACCTCGCAGACTGTGGAATTTCCTGTCACCTTCCAGATCTTGATCTGATCTCACCAGCTCTGCGCAGAGAGAGAGAGAGAGAGAGAGAGGACAAATCAAGCAAAAAAAACCACTATGTGCTGTTATTTGATGTCACCGAATGAAGCTCTCCACTAAGACTCTTTTGGTTTCTCTTCTTTCTTGAGTTTGGCAAATTCAGCACAATCAGCTGATGACAAACCTGCTCAATGAAATGTCCTGTTTGCACGAGGCGCCCAGCCTCTGCAGCTTCCTTGATGTGTTTTTGGATTCTCTGCTGACAGTGTGCAGCTTTGACTAATGCTTGACTGCCTATATTTTCACTGTAGTGTATCAATATGCTGCTAGATACTATTTAAGTCCAAAAAAACCAAACAATTATTTACGAATGATGCATGATGTTTTCACCTAACTTGCAACAGAATCAGTGAGCTTAAAACCTGCAAGTGTCATTTGTTTTGTTTCTTAAGAAGACTCAAATTAGATGCTCTAAACACCTGCATGAGAGTTCCAACTTTTAAGACCGACACGTCCTTTTACAGAAACGTATACGTGGTGACTCCTCACTGTAATCACTGTGAATAGTCTTTACGTTTTAAAAGTTAAGTTCTTCGTTAAACGACTCCTTCAGAAATAGTAACCTTATTTTCAAAAGCTGTTTTCTTCCTGGACACCAGTACTGCCCTGTAGCTGAATGCATGTGCTGGTACACAGAGATATTCTCATTTCACTTTGGAGTTTTTGATCTACTGTCAGGCAAAAAAAGAGATTACTGTCGCGTCTTTTATAAGCTCCACAACAAATATTATAGAACACATGATAATCCACACAGAACTACATGCATTTCTTCTGCCAAGCTTTTGTTCAGGGTTTCAGACATAACCACTTATACCTCTTGTGATCGCTGATGAAATCACATCACCAGTCGACAATAAGTATAAACAGCTTATTTAAAAAATGTACTCTTTAATTTGAACAAAGAGCGTCAGCCCAGTTATGAGAGTCATGACGCTGTGCCTCTGCAGATTTTCCTGCGTGGAGAGCCTCACACAGGGTCCGCCAAGTCCCCACACGGAGTCACACAGGCCCCCCCCCCCGAGGAGGCGGCATGTACATTCCTTGAATTGTACGAGCACTTTTAGAATAGAAGGGATGTTTTGTTCATTGAAGATATGAAGCCTGTATGAATCACTCTGAATGGCACTATCGAGTCCTTTGCAAAGAATGAAATTCAACCCTGCTCCTGGTGCATTGGATGCAGAGCTTGTATTGCAGTGCTGCTCAGAATGATGGAAGTAGTCCACACATTTTCTGCAAAAGACGCTTTTCGCTGCCTCACCTGGCGCTCTCAATGAGAGCAGAACAGAATCACAGTAAAGGAAAGAAGAGAAATTGTGGATTTTGCACGAGGTCTATTGCATCGCTGCATCTGTTGAGTTTTGCATTTGCTGTTTGAAGGGAGGCCAGTCTATAAATCATCCTGTGAACAGACACACACCATCAGGGTGGGGCATACACTTGAAGAAAAGTTTAGTCGTATTTCACTCTGTCAAATAATTTATAGTCTCTTCTCTGTGAAGACTTGATAAACCTGTGCCTTCAAATTAGCAGTTTTATGTTAAGACATCCAATAATCTTCTGGCTTTTTTTCCACAAGTGTGCTTGATTTTCACTGTCATTTACGAAGGAGTAGCAGATGTACTAACCCATACATGTATTTGATGATTTTCATGTTAAAATGAAGTTAGATTTTTTTTTTCTTATATCACAAACAACTGTAACTCACAAAAATCTTTTGATTAAGGAAAATCTTTCGTCTCGTGTCCAACATTTGTATTTTCCACTGCCTAGCCCCACCCTCATAATGTGGATCTACAATCAATCATTGAGAAGTACTGTTTGTTTTCAACTGAGGCGCTGCGTTTACATTATGTGCTTCAGCATATGCTGCCCTCTAAACAGGCCTGTAAGTGGCACAGTTAATCATTAAAATCTCAGTTCAAAGTCCTAATGCTTACTGTTCATTCAGAAACGGAAGGTCAACAGTAGCATGCAGTCGTATGACTGTGATTTAAATCAATGCTTGTGTCTGATGGATGGATTGCATTCAGGCAACATTGCATAAGGTAGTGTCCATTTTCACGGGGATGGGTTGACCTCATACTGGGAGAGACTGCAGTTTTGTACTCTTTGAATTAAACCAAAACTCCAACTTCAATTATTCAACACTGACACAGTAGTGCAAGTAAATACATTTCATTTCCCCTAGTTTTTCAGAGGAATATGTTCCTATATTCATCAAACTAGAAGGCATGCAAAAAAAAAAAATTAGACAATTACATTTAAGATTTGAAATGCAGCGGCCTCATCCTACAAAAAGAAAATACAATCATGCCGATTATAGGTGTTTGTAAAAGCTTACTAATAGATTTTACCGTCCAAATATGGTAATTATACTTGGTGGTGTCACTTCAACAGCAAAATCCATCAGTTCTCCTTAGATCATGCATACAACTTTTAAATAAACCTCTCGAAAATCTTCTGTGTTTTTTTTAAATACACATTTTTTTTTGTATGGGTCAGGAGACCTTTAACAAGCAGAGGTCATAATAGTAAGCAATCAAAACATATCGCTGGTCTGTACTAAGCACACACCTGTTGAATGATGTTTGATGAAATGGGGTTTATTTATCACAACAAACTCTGATTACTTCCCTGCTCTGAGTTCCGCCTGTTATTTCTAAGGGGAGTTTATCTCACATCAGTGCAAAGTTATATTTGCTGAGTTCGGGCAAAATTTCTGAAACAGACCAAGTGTAAACAAAAAAAGAAAAAATCCCCTGAATATTCTCACTTCATATCCACAACATGCGTTTGAGCTATTTTAACGGTAAAACCTCCACTTTCAGATGTGATGCTGTTTGTGACTGTGTATGCAAGTGTATATGTATAATACAAAGTCATTTGTATATAATGTATGAGAGAGGTATACAGAAAGATACCAAGCTCTTTCAAAAGGACAGTATTATTTTTGGACGGATATATTTAGATTCTGTAAGTAATCTACTCTATTGTCTTCTGAGTCAAAGACTGATTAAACAATAAACTAACATGGATATTACCATTCCTGCTTTTCTCTATGGAGCTAACATTATGATAATGTGAACATACGCTGGAACATCTTCTGTGTCATCTGTTTAATAAGATGCTATAGTTAAAGAGAATGTCTCTTTCAACAAGTTGACAAACCATGACTTTCAGTGGGAGTCTATTTCTAAATTTGTGAATGTCCCCTGAAATAGAAAAAAAAAAAAAAGACCTTACATTGCTTGCAAGTTGATTCTGCATTTTTATCAAATGTGCACATGCTTATTTGAGCTCTCCAACCCCTTCAGTCCTGTGACCGGGTCAGGTTGTGGAGGATGGTCCATGCCTCTGAGCTGCAGTGACAGTGGGAGTGGGGAAGGATGCCACGACTCTCCTCCTGCTCGCCACATTGCTAACAACAGATTGCTTGTGGCGAGACCCTTCAACCACGCCACTTAGACCGGGGAAATAGCAACATTCCAGGCATTCTGTGAATTGTTTTGTTTTCTGTGGGTCTGACACCGCGATACTGCTGCCTTTCTCTAGGAAAACAATGTTGTGTATATAGGCTATATCTGTCAAAAAATACTGCACGCTGAGATCTGTGTCACTGCCTCCAATTAGGAGCTGAACGAAGATAACAGGAAATCCAGCTTTTTAATTAGATGTGTTGCAATTAAAGCTCCACAGAGGGGGGTAAGGGGCCATATGGGGGGAGGGTACTCATAATGCATGAGCTAATGTCAACACCTCACTGTTTTTTTCTTCTTCTTCTATCGAACAAGCAACAGTAACAACATGGATTGCACAAAAATATTTGTTAGACAAAACATGGACACAAACCTAAGACATCCAGCTCAGGGGAGATCTTGACATGTATGCCCATACTGGAAATGACAGTATATTAGAGTACATTGAACATGGGTTTCATTGTTAGCATCTCCCTCTCTGACAGGGAGGGTAACAAGACACTTGATTCTCCAAGCGCGTGCAAACAGCACACTGTGAAAAATCATTAGCAGTTTATGTAAGAGTATTTAAAATCTATACATAGATTTCAAATAAAAATGTTCAATAAAATCAAATAAAGAAAGATACAACAGTCAAAAGCCAAAACAGAGTGGCAGTTGTTACATTATAGTCTGAACATTCAGTTTTATGGAAAAAAATACTGTCATACACAATAAGGTTGAACATTGTAATTGCACCAAATAAGTTACATTTATTATTGCACATAAGTATATAGACAGACAGACACAGACAGAGATAGATAGATAGATAGATAGATAGATAGATTTGGAGGAATAAGGACACTACTCTCTTTACTGAGGTAATTTACTTATGGACAACTATGTTTTTTAAGCTAGCAATAGCTATCAAGCTAGTAACGGAAATATCTCTCCCCAGCACTATCCAAATTTGCCTAAATTGTCAACACATATAAAATGCATGACATGTCATAAGAAATATTTTTGAATTAATATAAAAACATAGTGGAAGTCTGTTGGTTGGGATAAAGTGCTATCTTGACTCAAGAGCCAGGCTAGTAGGAATCAACCTATTGGTAACAATTGTTTGATACATTTGTTTTAACCCATGTTATCAATGTAAACATTTTTAACTTATTACATTATAAAAAACTGAAGGCCCTGTTTGTTTTATTTTGTTTGTCTTAAACTATAAGGTCTAACATAGATAACGATATGAGCAGTCTAAATGAGCTGTACCATTTTACCATTGAAAACAAAAGGTTTTGCATTTGCACTTAGTCAAAAATGAACAGGATAAGCTCCTAAAGGTACAATCATCTATGTGTCCGTAATATGTGGTTACACTGACCCAGCACATCTTTTAACATACTACATTAGCATTAATGTTGTTTTTCTCCTGTAGAGGCTCAGCCAGACCAAAAGTATTCGAGGTCGACTTCAGTCAAACATACAGCAACACAGATCAGACCACCTATGCAGCATGAACATTTGGCCTGTGGTTTTGAATGTTTCAACTGGCTCTCAACCAGATTTCACACACACACACACACACACACACACACGCACAGGCACACACACACACACACACACACACACACACACACACCTAGACCGCTGTTGTTTTTCTTAATGTGGGTCAAATTGGGCTGCAGAATGTAAAGATTAGAACAAGACGAGACAGGTTACAGTTAGTGTTTTGGAAATCTTTCTCACGCTGTGATCCAGAGCGTCAGAAAGAGGGCATTTGTCAGAGGGGGGGGAATCAGAATCCTTGAACCAACCTTAGATACATAAAAGTGTCAGACCCCTGGAGACTGAACACTTGTGTTACAAAGAAGTTAATGTTAAAGAAATCAAACAGCATAAGTGAATTTGAGAGTTCCCAATGAGAAGTGAACAGGGTAGGTGAAATAAGATATAATGAGGTCAAATAGAAAAGACAACAAGTTTTGAAAACCAAGATAATACAATAAAACGGATGTAAGTAGAGCAAAAAGTTTGAACTGATTGATGTCCTGAATCAACAAAACACTCCCGTGTGTTTGAGCAGAATAACATAGCTATGTCCTTGAGTTCTAGAGATCAGAGCAGAGACTTCAGGAAGGAAGGAGCCTTCATCGCTGACCCACTAGCTCAGGGGAGACAAGTGGACCAGGGCAGAGGATTTAAAAACATTCCCACCCTTCCTCCCCCTGCCAGTCCTATCATTTGCTTTTCCTTCTCAGAAATGGGAGCGGGGAAATTAAAAAAGAAAAATACACTAACAATGAAATCCCCGCATCAGCTTAATATCAAACATGGCCCAGGAAGCAGTGCAGAGGAGCTGGACTGTGCAGGATGTTCCACTCCGAGGTTGTGGTTGTGGCTGTGGGAGATGTTCGATGGAGCCAGCAGCACATCATACTGGTAAGTGGAGGCAGATGAGGGTGTCGTGCCCTCCCTCATTTTAGACCTCCCACTTTCACTGCTCCAACCACAAGCAGTTAAACCCCACAACTTACCATTAACAGCTCTGGCAATGTTGTCTGCTTGTAGATGCCACTGAAAGGAGAAGTTTGTTTTTTTCTTGGTTCTATGGTCACCCAAATAAAGAAAATTCAAAGTTATTAGAAATAAAGTTTTCAGGTTAGAGAGTTATTGTTCCTAAGATACGATGTTTGATTTTCCTTCTCAATTACACAAAATGAGCAATTGGTATTTTTTTTAAGTAAATATACAATCAGAATAATACACTCACCTGTTTATGTGTTTAAGTCCAGAAATCACAAACTTTCATTACTCTTACTACATCAGTCTTTTTTTTCATTCTTTTTTAAATCTTTTGCAGTTCAGATTTTCTGCACCTTGCCAAACCTTATTCACTGTTTGTGCTAGTGGGCCACCCAGTGGACATATAGAGGTAATGCAACTCATCTCTTTACCCGTTATACGTTTTTGAAAAAGCTGCTGTTGAGGCAATATCTGTGAATTGAGAGAGATAAAAAAAAAAGGTAAACATGGAGGCTAGACTAAAACGTTATAGATATCATGTTTATTTTTGTAGCCATGTAAAAGACAGAAAAATACATTAAAGAGATTAAGTAGGGATAAGAACTGTGCTGCAACAATTCTCAAATTTCTTCTTTTTTTTTTACCAATGCAAATCACACTTTTTTAACCCAAAAATCCAAGAATAACTCATTGTCATCGCTTTTTTTTTCTCTTCATGGATTATTATGTCATGACAGTTTTGTCTATGATCTATTTTTACCATTGTAAGAACGAAGACATATAACCGATATTTACCTCCTCTGCATGGTTGCTGCCTTAACACAAAACCTTGTCTCAGTTGACGTCATCACTTCTCGGGAAAATCTCTTTTTATTTAGCTTCTCTTTCCTCCTCTCTTTGACAGTCTCTAGCACCTTCCCACAAGACTGACCTTTACATCCCCACTTTCCCCTTATCTGTGTGAAGTCATGCGGACTGAATAACAGGGATTTCAGGTAGCTGAGAGAAAATCACACAACTCTAGCTGGTTATATGACCTCTCAGACTTTCTGCTCGCAGTCTTTTTCTTCCTCTCAGCCACTGTATATCGACCCTCTAACACAGCTAAAATCCTCTCCTCGTAACCCACAGAAACTGCTCTCTGCTGTCTTATTTCCAGTCAAACCCAGGACGGTGCCACCAGCTGCTGCATTGACCTTGTCTGCTTCTTCAAACCATAACTGCTGCACCGTCTCCTGGTTCCACAATAATCTATTTCAAGACATAACAGTGTTCAACCTGCACAAATCAGCAAAAGGTACTAATAGGAATCCTTGGAAGTGTACATATTATTTTGTTTCCATCTCTACCTGACTGCTGTGAGATCCTGACAATCATTAAGAGCATTACAGCCATGAACAGGAATAGATGGCGCCAAGACATCAGCTCATTATATTGAGCATTGACAGGCTTTCTTATTTTGTTGAAGTGAGGCAGTGATACCCATTGAGGCATTTTTCTCTGGTAGTGATAAATTCATTGTGATTAATAAAGGTTTAATAAATTATATTTTATCACAATTAATACACTGCTGCATTTGAATGGCTCATTTCACTTTGAAAACTCTCAGACAGCTCAGTTGACGAGTCACAGGTAATATCCACATTATGATATCAAACATTCCACTTTTCTATCCGTCCTTTTAGCTGTTTTTATTTAGGTTTTCATCTGTAACAAGTTTCCTTTTTTACGTGGTTAAGTTAATTTCTTAACCTTGGATCTACCAGAAGGTTCTTACTTTATTTCAAAATAAAAGCAGCATTGAATTCAAACGGCAAGTACGCTCAGCTTTTGACAGTACACAATTTCAAAATAAAAGCTTCACCATTTTTTCTTTTTTTTTTTAATGCTAATGATTCTGATTCAGAACCCCACAGTCTACCGATAGGTGACATAAACCCCACCAGTATCAATATGACTGTGCTAAAGAGAATTTGACAAACTGAAGGCTTATGGTCAGTTTTATACTTGCAGGGCCTGAATGTCATCAATGCAACACACTCGCTAAGCAAAAGATTATACTCTGAACTGTTGGGGTAAATGAATATAGTTTAACCTACAATATTTAAGTCACTGTTGATTAAATTATACTTGTACAGGTGCACCTGTGAAAAGAGCAGGATGATGCCCACAGAGGATGAAAATGTCTGAAAAAAACAATATTTTTCATTTTGACAAAATGATCATTCAAAATATGAATACACGAGTCTAACACTCTATCCTCAACAAATACTTCATCAGGTTCAGGATGGATGTCTAAAGAGCCATGTGACTCTAAACTCTGCCTGAACCCCTACTCCCTGCAGAATTCCATAAAAATGTATTAGGCAGACTATGGACCACTGGGGATGAAGGAATGAGCTGTGTCATTTTTAAATTAAGGAATGTGAAAATAACGGTTTATGTTAGTCATACTGAAAGCCTTTCTTAAAAAAAAAAAAAAAAAAAAGCAGAACATTTGAGGAAATACAGTGTTGGTTTGGTACTGTTAGTTTCAGTCATTTTCAGTATTGATAGGTTAAATACAGTGAACAATATAATTTAAAGTGGCTCTGGGCTAATACTGAAAAGCAATGCACTAATGTGGTGCTTTATAGACAAATAAATGAGACCAGTTCTCTGGAACAGAAGACTGCTATGTAAATAATACGATATAATGACATGGATCTGTCCATCCTTCCAAAAAGTTGTGTAAACTACTTCTTCTAAATGTTGTATCAAGTTTTTAAGAATAAACAGACAGACAGACAGAGAAGGGTGAAAACATAACCTCCTTCGTAGAGGTTAATATATTTCAACACATAGCGGTGTATAAATATTGACTAATAAATGAGGCATCTGGCTTAAGCTTTAAGTCAACAGATGTTTAACAAACACTGATCATTTCTAGTGCTGAATTATGTGCCTGTGTCTGTCACCCAACTGGTTTGGATGAAACAAAGAGGACCGTTGAGAGGCCTTGAAATGCTCAAAGAGTAAGAGAAAACATGTGGGTGCATTTTATCAGCTGTTTACATTTTGTAGAGTGCCTTATGGCAAGGGTGCATTGGATATAGAAGCAACTAGAATGCAATTTGCATCACTCCATTTACCCATTGTTCTCATCTGCACAATTCAGCTCATTACAGTTAGTAGTCTATCTTGTTTAGGTTTATTTCTTGAATTACACAGAACTTTAAAGCTTGTCATATCGTGTTATGGGGTTTTATGTAATTGAATGTTGTACATTTTAATCTGTTTGTTTACACAAAGGCCCAACTGGGGACACGAGTTGGAAATTAGCAATAGCTATATCCTCTTTATGCAGCACATCAGTTTCATGCTTTGTATTGAAATTATGTTAAATTGCATTGTCCCTAAAAAAATTCAAAATTCATTTCAATTGTGCAAAACATTAAGAATGCTGTGACCTGACTGTATGAAACATAGAAGTAGTCTCAGTGACATCATCCATTAGTTTCTGAAGAGGCATTTTCAAGCCAAACGATGTGACAGGATCCGTAAAGTTACCTAGTGTCATGTTGTATTTTGTACTTACCCTTGTCTTTCATATCCTGCTCCTCATGTTTTCCTGCCTTGAGCCTCCCTGCCCTGATTGTGCTCACCTGGGTCTCGTTATGCCCTGATTCTGTGTGTATATATCCCTGTGTTTCCTCCCTCATGTTGCCAGTTTGTAGTGTGTTCCTGTGTGTCACCTTGTTGCAGCATTTTTCCAAGTAGACTTCTAGTGATTTTTGACCGTGCCTGCCCGACCTGAACTGTAATTAAATTCTGCCTTTTCCTGAACTCAGCCACGTGTGAGTCTGCTTTTGAGTCCCTGTCTCTATCTGGTTCTGATACGATGGTAATAACCATATTGGAAATGCTGTCTCCACCGTACTCTCGTCTAATCTAAAAACAGGCAAAGAGTTGGAACTGAGCAGGGCCTTCAACCTCCTATAGTAGCTAAAACACACCTCACAGCGCTGACATCATCCGTCAGTCAACTCAACCTTGCCCCTGCAAACTTATGCATAACTCTTAAACCTGGCTCGGACTGCAAGATAATCGGGCCGATTTGAGGTCCAATTTTTTCTTCCGGACAATCGCAGGGTCGCTCCCGACTCAAGGCTCCTCGGAATCGATTATCTGCCAAGACTATCTTGTAGAGTGAGTGGTATAAAGATCCAATCTTAACATCCCCGATCTGCTCGGCGATTGGCTCGATTTATTTTTGTTGTTTAAAATCTTGACGATTACGTCATGAAAGCGTCTGGAAGAAGTCGTCTGTCACTACAATCCTTGAGAGAGACGAGGGAAGACGGTAATAAGTGTGTAGTAGTGGCAACCGGCGGCAGGAGGCAAATTGCACAGGTGTACTGTAATGCTCATAGTTACAATCTTACCTCCAGCTACTGTAGATGCTTGCTTGTGTTGTACTTACTCTCTGATGTACATTGCCTTGGATAAAAGCGACTGCTAAGGGAATTGTAGAATTGTAGCTCACACTGAAAAACATACAACCCATGTTGTCTGCGTCTCCTCAGACATTTCTTCACCCGAAACTTAAAAAAAAAAAAAATTGTGTGGGTGTGTGTTTTCCTCTCTGCACTAAGCATTATAATCGCAAATTCCACCACCACCACCAGCTTCATTGTTTATTATTCAAAACACTTTTTAAATCAGGCTGTAAACATATCCATTTCTGTTGTAAAAAATGGGACCTATAAATTACATGGCGTTTGCAGCCAGCCTCAAGTGGACACTTTTAGGAACTGCAGTTTTTCCACACACGCAATGCATTGGCTGTGTTCTACAAGCTTCTGATATGCGCCCTCTTCACACGCTCTCTTCTGTTTGTCTCACATTCAGAGCCCTGGAGCTGGTGCACAGCACTGCCAAAGAAGCTGCAATCCCAAATCCTCTGGGCAATGATCCAGCTCTGAACTTGACTTCTCTCTCCCCTCTGGCTGTCTGTGGATGAAGTGACCTTTAAACCTTCTGAGGACCTCTGAGTCACATTCTGTTATTTGGTGGCTAACTGAAAATTCTCATTGTCATGGCGCACAGACATTTTCCTCCTCTTCTTTCCTTCTAGCTTCAATAGATGCCTCTTTTCTGAGTGATTCTATCCAACTGTATGTAAGACTTCCAAAGTAATCTACTTAACTGTACTCAATGAGACCAATAGTATTATCTTTGATGAATTTGTTTTACAATTATGGCTTATTGTGAGGCTATCAGCCCAGTATCATCGTAAAGATCGTTTGTAGCAGATGGTTATTGTTTGTCTGCAATTATTTATGCATCTCACTACACACCACAGAAGCCATTATGCCATTACCACATGAAATAGTTCTTCACAGGCACAGCATGGACACATAGATTATTTCAAATTATATTAATGTTGTTCCATGTCCAGAAGCAAAGAGTCTGTTCTGTTTCCCTCTTATCAAATCTGAAGGCTTACAAGGCGTCTTAAGGTCTTGTAAAAAAAAAAACGTTAATCAGTATTGAGAATGAAAAGTAAACAAGCAAGGGTCATGTCTTTTTTATTTTTTCAGGAATAAGTAATCTTTACAGATTGGTAGGAAAACTATCCAACAACTATATTGATGTAAAAAACCAAGAGAGCTCATTTGCAGTTGTTTCCCAGGCCCTTTTCATTAAGAACTAGACGACCGAGGTCAACAAAATGCTGTGAAAGATATAAGCGGTTTCCATAATAGCACGACCGTGGTTGAGGGAAACTCTGTGCCGCACTTATTTGCTGTCCAAACTTTCTTTTGTGCCAAATTCAGCTCCCATCTGTTCCTGGATCTTTGCAGATGCTCGGCGGACACCTGGAATCACAAACTGGCCCGAGAGAAGAAAAGAGGCAGAGGAGAGGGAATGTGAGGAAGCATGTTGACAAACCGTGGGTGACAGATCATCTTTTGCCTCTCTATCTCTCCCGCCCTCCTCTCCTCTGCAGACAGGGTTGGGCCAAACAGCAGGTGGTGCAGAAGAGAAGCCCGGACATGGTATTTACAAATCCGTGTCTCTGTCTTTCTGGCTTCTGTACCGGACAAGTATGGAGGAAAAACCAAAGCAACAATTTTAAAGGTAAGTGCTGCTTTCGGATCCCAACATCCTCGCTAATAGTTCTAGCCTTGGAATAGTGCTTTTGTTGTTTTATAACAACTTCAAGAAGTGTGTTTAAAGTAAGATTTTCCTTATATTTCTATTTGATACACTAACTACAATTCATAATATAGATTTAGATAGCTCTATAATCGTCAGTGTGTATGGGGCATTCTTGTATGTTATTTGATCAAGAAGAAGAATGAGTTGTTTATTGTGTAATCATCTATATCTCACTCCATTACATGTCTAGAGTTGTTGTCGTCTGACATTATCCAAGGACACAGTAAGCAGATACAAAGAAGCTCACAAATAGGAACTGTTGAAAAATGTTTGTTCTACAAAACTCAAAAAAATAACTCTTATTATGTTGTTTAATAATAGGCATAGTTGACTATAAATTTCATGATGCATCATTACTATGTATGATATGATGCTATGTATGATTGCTCCAACCATTTCTCATGAGTTTGTGGTATTTTAAACTTTTAATTTATTGAAGGATTTCAGACTTAAACCAAGTTAAAGCAACTATGACAGCGGATTTCCACAATCAATGTATTTCCATAAATTATGTTTGCATATGCATGCATTCTGCCTATATGCTAAATTATTTATTTTAATATGACGGCTAATTATGTATTAATGTTGCATAAGGTTGGTTGGAATGGTGATTTAAGCCAAACACAATCAAGTCTTTTTATTGTCTGACAAAGTCTGAACAGTTGGGCCTGAAAAAATACCAAGAAAGGAAGAGTATTTTGACTGGAGGCATCAAATCATCGAGGATCACTCAGTTTTTGTTCAATGATAATGACAAAAATGTTTTTGTCTCAGCAATTAATAGTCAACAAGTCAGGACACGCTGTTTTGATCCCGTGAGCGTGGATTGGCTGAGGAGGATTTCAATGCATCTGTTTAAGTCTGAAGCTTGGATATTAATGTGCCTTCTTGGTATCTGCCATCCATTTGAGACCCCCCCCACACACACACACACACACCTCCCTTTTCTCTTTCCAGAGTGGACCTCAACATACTTGATTTCAAAGCTTTTAAAAATCAATATAGTGCAATGCTTATTTTCTTATTCACATTTAGCTTCACATAAATTCTGTTGTTCCCCCCCCCAAGTCTTTGAACCTTATCCTCTTTCTGTTTGTTTCCTCCACCACTCAGGTGTCACAGCAATAGCGTCTCTGGGTTGCTGAATAAAGATGCTCATGGACCTGGAGAGCCAGAGCCGCGCTCAATTCAGATGAATCAAGGGGAAAAAAGAAAAAAGTCCAACCTCTAATCTCAGGACCACGGTTTGGATGGTCTGGATAAAGCGAGGTGTCGGGTTACAAAGGCCAAAGACGATTTACAAAACATGGAGACGCCCATGTTTTGTGTCCGGAATCTATTTGTAGATGAACCATGATCTCGACATGGGGTCAAACGAACCTTAAACACTTTGTTTTGTGCACCTGACTTCTGTCAGCATGCAAACACAGCCTAGATGATTTGTCCTTCAAAGAAACATTGGTGGGAACTAACAGGGTCCAATGATGTAGCTGCTACAGGTGACCTAAATGTGGCCTCTTATTCAACACAGTCCAACCACAGTCAGTATGGAAGTGCAGACAGCCTCTGTAGTCTGGATATATGTCAACAGCACAGAACAACTGAACACTTCATTTGACTACAACACCACGTATTTGACTGAAAACTCAAATACCAAATCGTATATTATTGGTCTCTTCCTGTCCTGCCTGTACACCATACTCCTATTTCCAATTGGATTTATTGGTAACATCCTAATCCTGGTGGTGAACCTGAACCACAGAGAGAAAATGACCATCCCAGACCTGTACTTCGTTAACCTCGCTGTTGCCGACCTCATCCTGGTGGCAGATTCCCTCATCGAGGTCTTCAATCTGAACGAGAAGTATTACGACTACGCCGTTCTCTGCACCTTCATGTCCCTTTTTCTGCAGGTCAACATGTACAGCAGCATCTTCTTCCTCACTTGGATGAGCTTCGACAGATACGTCGCCTTGGCTAACTCCATAAGCAGCAGCCCTTTGCGGACTATGCAGCACGCCAAGCTCAGCTGTGGCCTCATCTGGATGGCGTCCATCCTGGCCACGCTCCTCCCCTTCACCATCGTGCAGACGCAGCACAGGGGCGAGGTGCACTTCTGCTTTGCCAACGTCTTTGAGATCCAGTGGCTGGAGGTGACCATCGGCTTTTTGGTGCCCTTCTCCATCATTGGTCTGTGCTACTCTCTAATCGGGCGAATCCTAATGAGGGCCCAGAAGCACCGTGGACTGTGGCCACGGCGGCAGAAGGCCCTGCGCATGATTGTGGTGGTGGTTCTGGTGTTCTTCATCTGCTGGCTGCCAGAGAACGTTTTTATCAGCATCCAGTTGCTGCAGGGAACCGCCAACCCGGCGCAGAGGACTGCTACCACCCTGTGGCATGACTACCCGCTCACGGGCCACATTGTTAACCTGGCAGCTTTCTCTAACAGTTGCCTCAACCCTATTATCTACAGTTTTCTAGGAGAAACCTTCAGGGACAAGCTGCGGCTCTTCATTAAGCAGAAGGCCAGCTGGTCAGTGGTGAACCGCTTCTGCCACCACGGCCTCGATTTACACCTCTCTGTCAGGAATGACGTGTCCGAGGTGTGACTCTTAGGAAGCTGAGCGCACAAAATTTGCTAAAAAAAAAAAAACTAAAAAAACTTCTTCATATCAAAGTGATATATCACCCAGTGTGGAATATTACCTCAGCTTTATTCTTCTGTTATTTAGCTTTGTCTCTCTGCTGTATCACAAACGTGCTCACTTTCTGAACAAAAACACAAAAGCACCCAGAATGTCCAGTGAAGAGACTCAATGTGTGTATCTCAGAGAAGATAACAATGAACATACAGTACTTAAAGCTATTTTATCTTTATCTACTTGTTGGATTGTTTTTCTTCATTTTGTATATGATGATAGTGTACTTCAGACAACTCTCAATGAAATCCAAGAGAAGCTTATTTTCAGCACTGAGCTTTACAAGAGACAAGCTTTAATGTATGACAGACACTGGTGACACAAAAAAAGTGTTTCATTTTTTAACAAAATCTTCCAAAACATTAAAAACATTTTCTGGGAGTGAGATATAACCAGGAGAAACAGAAACAGACTGCATCTTGAGAATAATCCATCGTTTTTGTCAAACTACAAGGGAAGGTCAGTGAAGTCCCAGCAGTCCCCTCGTGCACTTTTGCCTTTACAATGTTAAAAGAAATCATCACATAAAGTAGCATGAAACACAGAAGACATGCAAACAGTAACTATCCCAGTATCCCTATCCCTAAAAGGACACTCGACTGTTCCCCTTGTTCTGTGCCTCTCAGCTAACATTTGAAAGAAAACATCTCATGTAAAGTCGAACACATGGAATGCAAAGAAATGCACACAAAAGGTGTTTTATTTTTCATAATACACAAGAAATCATACTTCAAAATGATTCAAATGCAAAAATTGTTGACAAAGTGCACAAATAGGAAAGGGGTTTCTTAAATTTCGCAAATACCAAGCAACATTTGAACATTTGCTTCTTCAACTTCCTGTATTATGATGCTGATGTGGCAAAACTATTTATCTCTTACAAGTAATAATGACATTTTTGGGGGGCTTTTTGTGCCTTTAAGGTAGAGATAGGACAGTGGATAGAGTCAGTAATCAGGGAGAGAGAGAGTGGGGTATTACATGGGAGAAAGGTGCCACAGTTCAGACTCAAACCCACCTGATGGACCACAGCCTTCTGCACACAGGGCGCGCACACTAATCATGCTACCGTCGCCCCATACTGAGTCTTTTTTTTTCAGTCACACTTTAAGACGAATTGGGGTCTATAAAATATCATTTTTGGGGCATAATCCCGAAAATGTGATGTCTGTGCTTGTGTTTATTGCAGTAAATGCAGAAATTAGTGGGTGCCCATTTTAAAGATGGCTGGGTTACACCCTATCCCGGGGGTCAGCAACCCGCGGCTCCGGAGCTCCCGAGCTGCATTCAGCTCTTTTGCCCCTCTCAGGTGGCTCCCTGTGGCATTGTCAAAAATGAAAATCTTTTTTTTGTATTATTATTATTGTTGTTGCTTCAAAGGGTTTTACCTTCCCTCAAATGATAAAGATTTTTGGCCCTTCATCAAATTATTAGGCTACAGACGCTGCACGCGTGGGATGGATGAAATTCAGTTATGTGGTCAAATATATAAATGAAAGCTCATTTAGATTTATTAGTAATGGGAATGGGCTTAGACAGGCTACATAAACTTTTTTTGGTAGAGCTGCCGGCAAACATGGTTCTTTTGATAGAAAAGGTTGCTGACCCCGGCCCTATCTTGTCACTTCCTGTTATCATGGTGGTAGAGCAAAGAGGCAGGTGCTGTTTTGCCAGCAGCGGTTCAGAGCAGATGAACACTTAATCTAATGTTAACATGGCACTGACTTAGTCTTTGTTCCCATCTTTAGCATTACACTGATAAACAGCATTGACACTAGGCAGTATGAACGGGCCTGTAGGACAAACAAATGTTCATGCTGCTTTGACGGCTCTTTTTGTGTCTGTTGGCTTGTTCAGCCTGTTTGTTTTATTTGATTTATGCAAATGCTTAAATCAAACAAACATCAGACATATTTTGATTTTTCTCCTAAAGTTCATCTTCAATTACATTTTGATAATCTGCTTTTGACAGTAAAAGATGCTCATTCAAACATTACATGTTAATTTTAATGCAGATTACCAGAATACACAGGTGTGGGGTTAACATCTTCCGACTCTGTTCCCTCAGCAGCTGAACTGCAAACGATTTTATGCCATAAACATGCCATAAACGTTTACAGCCTCTAATTGTGTGCTGATCTGTCAGAGCAAACATCGTAAATTCTCTCCTTGTAATGTTGCACTGTGCTCATAAATCGTAAAGTGTCCACTGTCTTCTGCATGGTATAAAATAGACCACACTTTACAGAATGATCCCTTCATTTACGTTGTTCCAGAATTACACATCACATATAAAGGCTAAAAGGTCTGAAGTTGTGGTTGTTATACTGTTAAGTAGAAATAACCAAAACAGTTTAGCAAACTCTATATCACACCTAAGTTAATGAAATTTGTGTTTGAACATAAGTCTGCATTGACATTGTGTGGTGGGCCTGAGTTGTGTTTGTGCATGAGGTAGCCAGAGATAATGGCGTGACTGGGAAAAACAGGAGTCCAAACCACAAACTGTTATTCCAGCTGTAACAGTCCCAGCAGCCTGGGAAAGCAATGCCGAGGGTTGTTTTCAGTGTGTATTAGAGGTCTGCAAAAAATGCAGACTTGTTATGTGTGATACATGATGCTCAAGATTATTTTTCCATGGCCCTTTTTCGGCCCACTTTTTTTTAGTGCAACGTTTCTTTCAGGATTTCCTTTTTTTTATTTAGCTCTTTTCATACTGTCAGCTTTTATAAAACAGGTTGTTTTGTAATGTTGATGTAGACATGTGCGGATGTTGCATCAAATCTACAGAGGGCACAAAGACAGGCATTTAAAAACGCAAAGATAAAAGCAACGCCAGCACCACAAGTTACCAAGTTCTGTAAGGAGAAGCAGGGAAAACATCTTTATATCACACACTTGCGGGCATACATACAAACACACAAACATCGGAGATGCTGTGAGAAGAGTTTGACAGTGGACTGTGTGTACAGCTGAGAGTACTGAGAAAGGTTAAAGGTTTGTGGTTACTGACGTCACAGACAGGAAAAAGGGTGTGACTTTTCCCCTTGCTTTCATTCAAAACTTCCACTGGATTACACTGAATTAAAACATTAGTGTGAGAGCAAAAAAAAACATCTGGATAAAATAACATGCATTTTATGTTATCCATAATTATGTAACATTGGGCAGATGAACATGCTGACACAGCTAAAATATGCGAGGATAATGTAATCCAAAAAATGCTGGAAGATTTTTTGACAATAAGATTGCAAATCGGCTGGGAAAGTCATATATATATATAAAATAACGACCATGTGGGTTCTTGGGTAAATATTTGAACATTGTGGCCTTTGTCTATGACACAAATGCACATAATAGACACGATACAATGATAATACTACAAATATCTTTGGTTCAGGTAAGTGCTGCTTAAATGTTGTACCACTGTTGTATGTGGGGTTTTTGTTATATTTATACGCATTTCATCAAAAGATCTTTCTAATATTCCCCCGCCTTATTTGTCTGTTAATGACACAAACATCTTTAAGCATGTGTACAGTAGGTTGAATCAAAACCTTACCGACACAACTGTATTGTAGAGCTGTTTTATCAGATTATATTAGAATACACTTATGTAGCTTATTACTGGTATATTCATTTCCTTTATTAAATCTCCCAATTTAAAAAAAAAGAAAAAAAGATTTAGATTTGAACTTTTATGCACGACGGGTGAGACAGAGGTTGTGATGCCCAAAACCTAAAAATCTGCACCCTTGTTGAGCTGCTTAAATACACATTAAACAGGGCTAGCATGACATATTCCATGGAATGAGTACCCTTAGGACTTTTGTTATTCTGTAAGAAATGCTCTGGACATTGCCTTCTGTAAAATGAGTTGGGGTGGAGCTTAGCAAAGTAATTATAACTGGACAGTCTGGGGTCCATGCATAAAAACAAGGCATTGCACTCAGTGGACCTTAGCAGCTGCATAATGGATTAGACATTTAATTGCATTTGTAAATTAAAAGCCCTTACAGGAAAAAGGGGTTAGATTGAGCAGATTAGCTTCCCAGATATCTTAACATGCTGCAAAATTGATGAGGCAGACAAAATGAAGTTCTTTATTTCCTATATTTTAATTTTAAGGCAATTTAAACAACAGTTTGATTGTGAGCCTCAAAAAAGCTAAACACACATTTGTAAAGTTTATTTGGAGGTAATTAATGGATTCTGAGATATAGGCTATGAAAGGGGTTATTACAGTATATGCAGGCTATATCCTTTGGCGAACCATGAAAAACAACATTATAACTCTGAATACATGAAATTGATTTAGATTTTGATGTAGGATATCAAACAACCAAGAAAACCACGATAAGGAACTAATCTTTTCCCAAAGCAGATCACTTGGCCTTCCATCTGTTGCTCCACATAGTTTTATATTTTAGTTCGGACGTTAATAAAAATGTGTTTAATTATCATATAATTGTTATAGCAGCGTTTATTCGTAGAATAAGTCAGAAACCGAACAAACTCCGCCAAATTTTACATCAGACAAGGAAGAAGGATAATTTCGTAGGCCTATATTTATAAATGGATGGAGAATATATCTTAATATCCTCTCGAAATTGCCTACATAACTTACAAAACAGCCTCTTGTGACAGAGGGTGCGATGAAAAACAGAAGAGTATAACTCGGCTTTACAGCGCAACCCCCCCTCCTCCTCCTGCATCAAGTGTTTACACTGCGCTGGCGTGCAGGCGGACGTGCAACAGATCCAGCGCATGCGCAGTTCATTGTTTTGACTGAAAATGCCGTCGGTTTCGAAAACGGCGGCCAATGCGTCCCCTCAAACCGAGAAACCTACCCACTATACGTGAGTAAAGCCACTGCAGAGAAACAACACGATAGCATGTTGCCGAAAATATGATGTGCACACGCAGCTACGGGCGTTTACACTGTGTGCATTCCTCAACTCTTGTGTGTTAAAACATGGTGCTTTTCCTGGCTTTGTGACTACCTAACGTTACATAGCAAACAGCGACTGCACGCTAACGACACCACCCCCCCTTTAGTGTGGGAAACTCGGTGTTCTTAATCGACTTATTGATAAGGCAGTTGTTAATGGTATCGTTTGGGATTGTTTCATAGAGTTTACGTGTCGCTTTGACTAATTGGTTGAATCTTATACCGTCAACTCGGTCTGCTAAACGATTAGCACTGAACTCGCTATCCTGTCTGCTTGTAAATAGCTCGGCCTTATTTTTTTGAGTTCCCCCTTGCTACGCACATTTATACACGTACGCTCGCTGACTTTCAACAAGTGTTACGGCGAAAAGTTACGTACTTTGCTCTGTGAATATGGAGCTAACGCCAGTGACCCAAAATATACAGAAGGCTACAACACGACACTTTAATGCGTCTTAACTTTCCCCCCCATTCCTTTGACTCATTATTTAGTCAATAGTTACTTAAAACCCCGGTTCTTCACACATTGTTTTTTTTGTGTCTTTCTTTCGTTGTTTTAGATACTTGAAGGAGTTCAGGACCGAGCAGTGCCCGTTGTTCCTCCAGCACAAGTGTACGCAGCACAGACCCTTTACGTGCTTTCATTGGCATTTTCTCAACCAGCGGCGAAGGCGACCCATAAGGAGAAGAGACGGGACTTTTAACTACAGCCCCGACGTTTACTGCACAAAATACGACGAGACCACAGGCATTTGCCCCGATGGAGATGAGTAAGTCCTTGTTTCAGCCATTGACATCTTCACCAGTGTGTCACGACGCAGCTGCCGAGCTGCTGACTGATGTTTTGTTGTCACGTTTTGAATGAGGACCACTGTAGCGCAAAGAAACAGATGTGAACATGGATACAACAAATATCACAAACGCAACTAGAATTCAGTTCAGCGGGACATTTAATCCTTGGAAGATACGTGCTGCATTTGTCTGTGGCTGCAGTTGAATGGATTTTGAATGTGGTGTGTCTTCATTTTGAAAACATTTTGTAGATGTGGCCGATTTTGAAGTATGGAGTACTTATTGCACCCTAAAGTATTTCATTGAATGAAACAAACTGTGCGTTGTGTAATGTGTCATACATACAGAGGAGGGACTGGGGCTCACTGTTCTGTTGTCATGTTTGCAGGAGGCTGAAAGCATGTGTTTTGATTATGTTAGTGCATTTTGGGGCTATTCTTACAGATTAATCTAAAGTTACTTGTCTCATAAATAATGCATTTTTTTGCATGTTTTAAATGGCCATCAGGAAAGCATAGCATGCGTTTGTTTGTTTAAGACACGTTTCTAATCCTGAAGATAATTATTCTTGACAAGTGTGCATGGAGACACATTTTTATTTCCCAGTTTATTTGTTTAAAGTGGAAAGTTTGTTCTTTAATTCCTCAGTGGGAAGTATTTTCTCAATCTAGAAAGTGTGACTATACAGAGGCTCTAAGGAAAGGGCCAATTCTTAGCCTTTTTTTTTTGTTGTTGCAGGCTTTCTCTCTGTGGTGTACATACATACAAACATTTGTGTTTGAATTCCCCCTTTATGTGATGAAGCCACAGCTCTGTCTTCGAAAAAAAGACTGGTATATTTTACAGCTGCACCCTCCAGCATTTAATGAGTGACACAGTTATTTTCTGGCAGCCACACCATGTGATCTTTAGCATCAATCATTTGACAATAATTTACAGAATGTCTGTTCCCCATAATGCACCTCATTCAAGATATTAATGTTGTTTATGTAATTCTTATAAGTGACAAAATAGGCTCAATAATTGGCAACAGCATCAGTTTTCCTCTATAATCAAAGAGGAAGAAAGGTTTTTATTCAGGCTTATGGCTTTAAAGAGTCAACATTTTTCATTCATATTAAACTTTGTAGTCACACTGAAACTAGATTAGAGAGATCATAAAAGGGGGTGGCATATAAAGACTGCAGCTTCTCCTCCTGACTCAGAAATGTGACAGCATTTAATTGAGTCCAACATAGAACAAAAAAAAAAATCTCATTATTGTATCAGTCAAAATTGAACAACTGTAATCCTTACAGTGCCTCCTCTGCCAATTGCTGCTATTTTTGTATGACCTTATGTGTTGCTATAGCAACTGTTGCTACTCAGGACAGGAAAGAAATTGGCTTTACAGTGGGTAATTGGCCATACATTTCTTGAGGCAATGCTTGTGTGTCGCCCTGGGTGCAAAGCAGCGAATTATTTAAGATTAAAAAATGTGTGCAGCTGCAAGATTCTGTACTTTAATCTATAATCTTTATGGTTTTATAATGATGTTGGTGGATCAATGATTTGAATTCAGTATAGTGTTTTTGCTTCATGCTTTAAACAGCCACCAAATACAAAACACCCTGCTTCAATTGGCGTTTTAAAGATTTATTGTACAATTTTATCCTCAACCCTCAAAAAAGATCAGATGATTTAAAACATATTTGTGTTCTTTTTATGTTAATATTTGATATTTATAGGTTTTATTTGTATAGGTTTAGCCTTGGCTTGTTCTGTATTCATGTAATCGTGTGTCCAATAATCTTTATTCACTATATTATCAACTAGTTTTATCTATATTAACTAATGAAATGTTCCAATGTTGTGTACTTTTGTCCTTAGCTGCCCTTATTTACACCGGACCACTGGTGACACAGAGCGCAAGTACCATCTCCGCTACTACAAGACTGGCACTTGTATCCATGAGACCGATGCCCGAGGGCATTGTGTGAAGAATGGCCTCCACTGTGCTTTTGCTCACGGGCCACATGATCTCCGACCTCCAGTCTATGATATCAGGTGACATACAAAGCAAATAGTGGCCCTGCCAAGCTTTTCACTCACAAGACTCAAAGGCACGGACAAAAACGGCAAATGTACAGCTGAATTCCTTTATTTTAGGGGTTTATTGGAGAATTAGTTCCACAGATTGGTTTGTAAATTGATTTAAAATGATTGGTTCAATGAATTAAAAACAAACAAACTGATACTAGATGAATATGTCTACTTCTGAGCTGTGTGCTGCTGAAAAGCCTGAAGTCCAGGTGAAATCAGGTGACTCTAGGACTTTGATCAAAGGGTAGAAATAAGTCAGAAGTTACATTAAAGGAGCAATATGTAAGATATCTACTGAATTAAATTGTAAAGTGACCTTACTATATCATCAGACATTACGGAACATGCTATGTTGAAGTGCTGGCGTCTCTGACAACAATACAGCAGCCAGTATGTCCTCCTGAGGATTAAACTAACCATATTTGTTTTTTCACAGAGAGATCCAAGCACAAGAGGCACTTCAAAATGGACAGTTGGGATCTGGGGAAGGTATTCCTGATCTGCAGCCCGGTGTATTAGCCAGCCAGCTATGATTGAGAAAACTCTCACAGAAGACCCCCGGTGGCAAGGTGAGTTACCCCCACCCCGATGTTATTGTGCTCATGTAGTTCAAAATAACAGATTTCAAAGACATAAATACTTTGCAATTATTTTTGCAGACACCAACTTTGTTTTAGCCAACTATAAAACAGAGCAGTGCACCAAGCCCCCAAGACTATGCAGACAGGGCTACGCATGCCCCCACTACCACAACAGTAGAGATCGAAGACGAAATCCTAGGAAGTTCAAATATAGGTAAGATTTGACCATAAACAATATAAGGAAGTAGGTGCGATTGCAGTGAGTTAAAGGTTGTGGCTTTGTGAATGCAGGTCCACTCCCTGCCCTAATGTGAAACATGGGGATGAATGGGGCGAGCCCTCAAAGTGTGACAGTGGAGACAGTTGCCAGTATTGTCACTCTCGCACTGAACAGCAATTTCACCCAGAGGTGAGGAAATCTTGTCATCTTGGGGAAAAAATCCTTCAAATGTTTACAATCACACCCTTATTCACTGTAATATGAAATGTTATAAATTCCTTTAAACTGTGTAACACTGCTGATCTCTTTTAGATCTACAAATCTACCAAATGCAATGACATGCGACAAACTGGATACTGTCCCAGAGGACCGTTCTGTGCATTTGCACATGTAGAAAGTAAGTGAAAGTTTTTCTTAGTATTCTCTCTTAAGGATACAGAGACATTTAAAACACACCTGACAATAGCCAAGTTACCAAGGGTTGTGTTAGAGTTGAAAGACAAGTTTTGTAACCTAGCAACAGTAAGCGCCTGTGGGAATCACTCTGAATCTTAGTGTCAGCTAAAGCCGTGAGAGGACACAAGTGCTTACTGGTCAGCCCAATTTTAAGAATGAATACTGTAAACATTCTGATTGATTTAAACCGGTTGATGTCTGCAGGTGTTGCGTTTGTCGATCTCTTTGTGTACTCTCTTTATAAAGAATATATTTTTTAATGTTTGTGTTTTCAGGAATTCCCTCTACAGAAGAGACCATGAGCTCATTGCTAACAGTGATACAGTCCAGTTCACAGTCCCAGCTGGGCTCTCAGCAGTATTCAGAGTGTCCAGTCAGTGAGTGGAACAGTGGAGGCATCTCCACCACCAACGCAACCAGTAGCAACGGACAAGTGGGAAGTGTAGGTTTCTTGTGTTGCTTCGTCAGGCATTCAATTGAAATGAATTGGAAAATGTTCAGTCATTGCTACCTTAGCAGCTACATACCTATATCACTATTCAACCATCAACATTTATATGTTACTGATTTGCTCATTTTTTTCAGTTCAATCATGTTTGTCTTTTCTTTGTTTTGTCATTGTTACTATTTTGTTTAACATTTCATGACTACATAGTTTTTAAAGAATGGAAATCTTTACTTCTCATTTCTCAGACCATCATTAAGATCACATGCACCTCTCTTTCTCAGGTTTCATGTTCTAATAGCTCAACTGTAACGTCAAGCTCAGGAAGCGACAGTTTGTTATCCCCAGTGGGTTCCATCTGCAGGCCCAAATCCTTAACTAACAGTAGTTTATGTTCAGAGTCCACCACATCCAGTGCCTCATCTCTGACGTCTAACTATCCTAGAGCTCCGGGCTTTGAACGTGAGGATCAGGTACTGCTCTGCTTAGCTTTGATTTAAAAAAATACAACACATTGACAACTAAGGCCTCAGTGGATCACTGTCATATATTTTTTTTGAATCATGGTTTTGTTGATTTGTCACTCATTATTTGCCACATCATTTTCATTTTGTCACTTGAAGCTATTTTTTAGATCAATCATTTTAACTACTAGAGGCAGGGGACAGTCAATTTAAAGGTCACATATTATTCAAAATACAATTTATCATGTTTTTCAAACACTAATATGTGTCCCTTACTCCCATACAAACCCATCAATTATGAGAAAATCCACGATCTCTGTCTTTTGCCTGCCTTCAGAAAATTTCAGCTCAATCAGGCCGTTCGGAGATTTTCCCTTTGTGACATCACAAAGGGCAGTAACCCCTTCCCCAGGTGGGTGACACTCCCACAGCTAGGTGTTTGTTCTGACATCTTGAGTCTGCCTTTTCACTGTAAACAATTCGATATGGTGCAAGAAAGCCCTTCTAGAGTGGCTTGGTCAAACACAGCTCGTTTGCATTTAAAGCTACAGACACAGAAACAGCCTGTTCTGAGCAGGGCTGAAATAAGAGAGGTTTATAGGCATGATCAAATACAGGAGGGGAGTGCTTTCTTAGCAAGAAACTTCACAGACATGTTTTAGGGAGCCCTAAGACTTATTTAAACTTGGGAGTATAATATGTGACCTTTTTAAGAAAGAAATGTGACAAAAGTCATGGCAAGAACAAGAACTACGGTAAATGCTGTTCCAAAGTGTACCACTATGTCACAGTTAGCTCTGTTGGGAAAACTAGATAATAACAGTGCACTCGAAAGCTTCCTGCGTCATCTAATCAGCTTTCTGTCAAATTTGAGTATTGTGACTGACGTGTTCTTTTTCTCTGTTATTTAATCATTTTAGATCAAGAATAAGGGGCAGGTGGATCAGAAATTGATGGACCAAGAAAAACAGGTACTCCTACAGTATGGAAATAGATTGGTCAATTAAAACGGAAATTTAAACTGCACCAACTGTTGGAATTAAATCAATACCTTCTATGCTCTTGTTCCAGACACATAACACTGTATTCTCTGCGGTAAACCCTTTGGCCTCAAGCTTTACCTCCAGTATAACATCCAGCTTGGCTTCTAGTATTGGCTCAGATAGTTCTTCACCCACCACCTTATCAACAATGAATGCAAAAGCCACTCCTTTCTATCCAGGGAGCACCACAGTGGAGTCTGTCATTGGTAAGTGTTTTTAAAGTTCACTGTTAACCTGTTGAGTTCAGTATGACTCCTCTGTTATTTTGGTATTAAATGAGAGCCGGATGTATTTTTTTTTTTTCATCAGGTTCTGCTCTGGACCTTAACTTCAGTGACATCAACGTTGCAAGTCTTGATAAGGAGTTAGAGGATCAAGATAACTGTGTAGGATTGGCAAGTAAGGACACCTAGATTGTTAAAGTTCTTTCAGTTCTTTGGCGAGTTGATCATAAACCATCACCATGTGCATATTTTAGCACCGACAGCGTTTACTCTGTCCCCGCAGGTCAAAGGGTGCTGGCCGGATCTGCTCCTGTTAACATTCCTGGCTCCTTGGCTCGCTCGTCCTCTTTTAATTCCTCATCATCGCTCTCCACCTCCCCGCTCAGCTCCCTCTCCCAGTCTCTGTCGCAGTCCCTGCTGTCTGGGACGATATCGCAGCAAAATCAACCTTCAAATATGTTAACCAAGCAAGAGCACGGCCTCCTGGGAACACCCACCTCCTCTTCCCAGAACTCTTTGGGTAAGCTTATAGCGTCAGTGTTTTGTCTCTTTGTGGGCTGGAAAGCTTGTAAATACACATTTCAATCTCAGTCTTCTGTGTCATTGAAGCCACTAATGTTTTACTGAATACATTTATACCCTATTCATATGTGTCTTTTAGCATTTAGCATTTCCAAATATTTAGATAGATTCATGTTCACCCAGTTCTATAAGCAGGTGCTAAGCTTATAACTGTAGGATACACATTTCCTTTCTCCGATAACAGGTTTAGCTTAAAAAGCTACAAAAAGAAGTTCCCACTTTATAAAAGCTAAATCATTACTTTATTAAAAACAATCAATTTAGGATACTTGAAAGAGATAACATGACCACACATCTCGAAGGAAAGTTGTGCAACAATTTATGTTAGGTCCTTCTGCTTTCAACACGTGTATCACACCTAGGTTTGAATGGAGGAGCTTGCAGCATTTGGGACTTTGTAAGTGGCAACTTTTCCCCAAGTCCATCGCCAGTTTTCAGCAGTCTAACCTCGGCAACCGGCAGCGCCGATCTAGCCCGGCTTTTCAGAGAGCTGGACGAGGCCAAGAGAAAGATCAAACAGTGGGAGGAGGCCTGGCATCAAGTCAAACAGGTCAGTTTTTATAAAGGAATTCTTTATAATTAATACATTGCTCATTGTAATCCAAGTTATTGTCATATCTGTGCCATTAACCAGTATTTCTGACCTTGTTCCAGGCCTGTGAAGCTTGCCAGAAAGAAGCTCATGAAGCGAAGGAACATGCAAAAACGGCCGAGGCAGAGCGTCAGCTGGCTGAACAGAAATGGGAGGAAACAGATCGCAAGTTTAAAGAGCTCCAAGGGGACTTTGATGCGCTTTGTCGCACCCCTGGAGCACCTCTGCTACGTAGCTACGGCGAGCTGGAGCAGCTCCCCTTGTCAAAGCTTCACTCCATCCAGAGTCAGCTGCGTAATGACCTAGACCTTATAGACGGGGTAAGAAAGACTAGATCACATACAGCATTTCATCAGTAGCATGTATGTAGTTTATAAAAAAAAAAAAAAGGTTTTTCAGGCCATCATTCAGATCTATGCTTTGTCATCAAGCATGCATATCTGAAAAGTCTGCATGAACTGTGTGTCCCTAAGCTGCAGCTGATACTCGTTCTTTTCTCCCCCAACAGGTAATATATACGCTTCAGTCAAAGAAATGTATAGTTTGCCAAAAGCATGATCGTTGCATTGTTCTGCAGCCTTGCCAACATTATGTACTATGTGAGAACTGTGCGCCTAGTAGAACAGAATGTCCCTACTGTAGAACGAAATTATTGAAGTGGTGATGTAGAATTACTCGAGGTACTATTTAAAGATTTAGCCCTTTGAAAAAAAAAAAGAACTACTAATAGATATTACATTTTCTAAAGAGCATCATCTGTTTCATACAGTGATTCAAATGATTTAGATATTTTACTGACAGAACACATAGTATTAGGAATTAGACATCTGTACAGGAGATTCTTGTTTTTTGCTCATTTTATGCCAGCGTGGCCTCGGTCAACCAGGTAGCTTTCTTTCTGCAAAACAAATCATTCCAACTAGAACATTAAATGTTGTGTAATTCTTGTATTTTCAATATTCAATCATGATTCCACCAATTCAGAACAGAGATTCACAATCTGTTGAAACTTAATCATGAACAAATCTGGACTAAATGCAGCGGTGCTTTTCCCAAACAGAATAAACACATACAATACAAACTTGTTAAATAGCCGATACAGCGAATACAAAGTTTGCCCTTTTGAAGAAAAAAGGTCATTGAGTGTCAGTTTGTATTTCTGCCCCCTTGTGTTACTGTTCAGAAAGTAGAAATTCTGTCCTGCATTTACAAAATAATATGGTCCCCTAAAACTCAAACTTCTTTGCTAAAGCCACTTAAAGTCCACCCAGAGCAAATAAGGTTTGTTAAACACACTATCCTTTATGTTACTATTAAGGGTAGCTGTTCTGCAGCCCATTTACCTCCATACAGGAACAATGAAACTACAAATATCCAAATTGGGATAAAAACTAATCTGACACGATTACAGATGTGCAGCCACAATACTTTATGCTAAAGCCATTGTAGTTTGGGATCTGGGTTTAAAGGTAATCACTGTTAATGTTGGGGTGGGGGGCTGTGAGGAACTTATGACTCATTGAACCATCCAGGTGTTGATGCACATAAAATGAGCAAAACTCAAAGTGGACTTTTTCTTTACTCAAAGAAGAATGCATCAAAATCCAACAAATACACTTTAAAACAAATACAAAGTTCAACCACATTAGCACCATAATCCCCCCCTTTTGAAATGTGGTGTCTTAATATCCTGTGCAGAAAATGCAGCTTCTAGCTCTGACTTTGTCGACTTCATCGTACTAAAAAAAAAGCACTTAAACATTTGGTAGCTCCATGTCCTGAGGGGTGAATACAGACTCACTTTGTCGCGGTGTGATCGATGAAATGATGATCAAGAGTTATTTTCGGCTAAACGTGCGTCTGACAGAAGACACTTCATAAGCAGGTTTATAAAAAGTCTACATGTAATGAGGTATTAGAGCTGAAACAGAGCAGTTCATGGGAATAAGAAAGGAAACAAGATTTTGCTGTGTTCCTTTTGAAGATTAGCCACTTTGCTTGTACCCATAATTTCCTCTTTTTTTTTTCTTTTTTTTTTTAATTGCACCCAGTCACGCATCAAATTAACCAACTTTCTGAAGAATTTGTATTTCTAACTAAAGCACTTTGTTGACCTGGGATTTTGTTAAAGGGTATATAAATATTTGCTTTAAGCTGCTTTGTAGGTGTCTTTGTTTTAGATTTATAAGTTGTTGTTTTTTCTATATAAGCTAATATCTGAAGCTTTTGTGTCTACTGTGAAACGTCGCTAGAATATTTCCTAATTGTTAAATGATGGCATGGTTCTACATATTAAGATTTCATAGAAAAGTACTTCATAGTTTCTACTTTCATAGTTAGATTTATAACAATTTCAATCAAATAAGTGCTAACTCAAAATGCATTTGAAGGCATAACCAGCAGCTGTAATATCAGTAAGGCACATGCGACATGTTAAGGCTGTTTTCAATCAGTTCCTTTTGTTTTCTAGAGATTTCTATAGCCTAGCCATTTAGGGAAGCATGTATTGTATTTGCAAAAAAAAAAAAGAAGCCTGAACAGGTGATTTTTTTTGTAGGAATCTAGCCTCTTGACCTTGTCGAGAACATATCGGCCTCGAACTCTAAAGTGCCTTGCCTTAGTTGAGAAGGTCATGTGTAGAATCTGTCCGAGCAAACACAAGAAGTTGAAGCTTGTGCACAGGTTACATGTCTGTTGAACTTTGCAGAAGCATTGACATGTTTATGACTAATTGTACATATATATATATATAGAAATAGCTATCTAAATATTTGCCAGTATATTTGGCCCGATCCCATTAAGTAATTCTGCTGAAGATCGTTGTAAACAAACATTTGTCAGTGCCTGTGTGCAGACTTTAACCTTAGAGATGAACCCCCCCCCCCCCCCCATGTCTAAGTACCCACCCACTCATTCCTCGGCCGTGGTGCTCTCTGGTGCAGCTTCAGTCTTTAAGAATAGTTTTTTTCAATTTAATGTTTGGGAGTATGCAAACATAGGACAAATGGATTTTTATAGTAACATATAAAATGCTTTCTTTTTTTAAAAAACATTTCAGTTACTTTAATTAGTTTTTAATTTTAATACATCTGCAGTGAATGAAGAATTCCATAGTTAACCTGTTAGTCCGATTTTTGCGTAGGCATTTGCATTTTTCGCTTTCGGTTCGTAGTCTCATCGAAATGACCTTCTACTGTGTTTTTATCTTTGCTTTCAAAATCTATAGAAAATCATGTATCTCCAGGTACACCTTTTTGCTACTTATTAAATATGGGGAAATGCATTGTTTACATTCACATACATGACAACTAAACAACTCAGAGGAAAATATCCAGAAAAATGATTCATGGTATTTTAGCATTTTCTTGATTATAATACAGCATTAAATGGCAGGCTACATCCCTCTGGTATTGCATGTTATTGCGATATATAAACCAGCTACAAAAAAAAAAATAGAAAAAAAAAAGTTTGCACTGTGTCTCACTGCCAGAATATTTGTATTAAGTTATATTTAGTGTAAAGGCTAATAACTTCTGCAAGCTTCGCTGCTACTGGGAAAGGTATTAATGTGGTTTCTTATTAAACATGTCGGTGTTTGAATGTCGTGCATCCACAGCTCCGATTTAACAAACAGAACGTGTCTACTGCATCCAATTTGACTGATCTTTATTTGATGGAATTCTTCATCTGTAAATCAATTCTGTTGTATACCACTTAGAATGATGTCACAGACCTGTACTGCTGTCAATTGTCCCCTCTTTTTTTTTTTTTTTTTTTCATTGATTGAAGTTAAATGTATTTGTGTTGGACTCCCCCCCTCATACACTGGATTACAGTGTACAGTGCAGCTAATTCACAGGATCCTTTTGGTATATTTTGTTTTTGCCTGTGAAGCCAATTCAATGAATGATGTCTAGTGTGATAATCTGAAAGAAAAAAAAAAAAACGAACCAAAGTGGTGTTCCTATAGTTTGTCCAAAAAAATGTATTCTAAAGGGAAAAGTTGCCCTTGGAGAGAATTGAAATAATTGCTTTGGTATAGGACTGATCAGCCTGTCCACGAGAAGCAAGTGCATACAGTTAAAAATGGCCGCTCAGAGCAAAGTCCAAAGCTTTGTTACTGGCAGGCCTTTCCAGTTTTTGGATGAAGTTTTGTTTTGATATTTCCTTCAGCGGGACATACAGAATGTCCTCTTTACTGAGTAAACAACAGGACTATGCCAATGGCTTTTTGCTCACATCATTAATGGACTAGAGCCCATTCTTTTTTGCAGTTTTACCAAAGACCTGTACTGTTTTTCTTTGTTTTGTACTACATTTCATCCTTAGTTTTAATTCAGTATGTAGATCTAAAAATGATTGAACAAGTAATCACCTAGTACCTTAACTAGTCATTGTTCATTAACATTAATAATGGCATCTTTTTTTCTATCTAAAGTTAGCGATAGTGAGTCAATACACAAATGAACAAAAATGCATGGGTCAGATCCTTCAAAAAAGAAAAAGAAAAAAGAAGTGTATTTGTATATTTGATTTCGTGTTCAGTATACATTGACGTTTATGGCAGGTTTGTGCAATACTGGCGAGCACATGCTGACCTTAAGCGAGAAGTCAGTGTCGGTATAAATGTCGTCTACAGTGAAGGAATGTCAAGGGTGATGGCATTTGTGCTTCTGAAGTGGCCATAATAAACTTCACTACAGTTGTGTTTTGAAGTCGACTTTGCTTAACAACATAATCTCAATCACTCTGGAAACTGATGGTTATGCATTATATGCTGTTATGATAGACCTATAGTGACTGTAAGGTGCTTTGTTTCTCACTCTTAAGTTTTGTTTTTCTTTAAAAGCCGGGGTCCAAATGAGTTTGTGTTTGTGTGAAAATGACGGGACAGATAATGATTGTGACAAACATCAATGGCAGACACAGACATCATTCAAGCTATCATTTGTTGTTGGCCCTTTAGTCGCTCTATTGGTCTACTGGCCCCAATTCAAGTTTTTCGTTTTTTTTTTTTAATTCAAGAAATGAAACATTCACATGGTAAGCACAGCTTGTATTTCTTAACATTTTTACATTTCAAATTTGTTGAGTTTAGAACGGACCAATTACGCTCTCAAGTCAATCTGTGCCTTCAATCCATCATGATGATTGGTATCAAGAGAATTTGCCTCCAAAGCAGACAACAAAATCTAATCAGCGAAATAAAAAACAAATCAAAATTCCAGTGCCTTAAAGTGTTCTTATGGACCATGATGTGATGACTAAAAATACCCGGGCCACTTAAGCGGGAAATGAAAAAGAGATGTGCTGCAATAGTCCCCGAAAGAGGAAGCAAAGGTTTATAGATGACGGATTATTGTCTGTGTCGGCCTGGATTTGCCATTCAATCCAGACAACAACAAAAAGAAAAAAAAACAGCAATATTGAAACAATTTGAGCTCAATTTGTCATTTGGCACCAAAATCTTTTTTTGTTTTTTTCAAGGAAAAAAAGCACCAAATGGGAAGACTCTTGTAAATGAACTGTAGTAAATGTATCATTAAGCTCTGCATTGAAATAGTGAAATCTATTTTGCATTATTGTTAGTTGTTGTGTTGTCTTTCTGTTTTTAATATAATGAAAAATGGAGCCTGAAGATTTATGCAATCTTTTACATGTATACGAGTATGATGATAATAATATGGAGCTGTTCAAATTAAGTACAACGCGTCGTCTCGAGTGAGTCATCTGAATATATGGAACCTGTCGTTCCATAGACTTTCTGAGACTCCCAGTAGAAGACGTTATTTTTAACATTGAAGCCCTGAAATATTGAATGTATTGTTCTAAAATTAGATATTCAATGAATAGGTCACTGGATATTATGGAGCACACTTAATTCATTATGATGTAGCATCTTAGCTGTAAACTGCTATTCAATAAACATTTCTTAGAACTGAAACGAATACAAAGCTCTCAAGTTTCTATTTGTCAGCCTAATGTGGAGATCTAAGTAGAGAAATGTGTTTTTCTCAGGGTCATAACGGGGATGAAATATATAGAATGTGTTCAATCTGAGGAAAGTGCATTTCATGAATTGATTTACTAAATGTCAGTGGGTTTAGATATTTATAGAATATACAAAGCTGTATCAATAAGTAGGACATTCTCTCCTGGTAAACATAGAACTGATTCTGTTGCTATATTGATCTCTCTTTTTCTCTCTCTCTCTGCATTGTGAACACAAACAATAGGTGAAAGTCTTTAGAATTCTAGATGTTTTTCTTTTTCTACATTAAGGATTGTGTACCACATCTTTTCTGTAGTGTATGAACTAGTTTTGTTTAACACTTGATACATTGTGACACTACAGTTATGCAATGGTTTACAGAGTTCACAAAGTTATTTTTTATCATCTTGAGAATTAAAATAATTTTTTCATCTGATGTGTGTGGATACTCTTTGTCTTCAACACGACTTTTAAGAACATGAAAAGTTCAAAAACATGAAGTTCATGGACAAGAGGAGAGGAGGAATCTAAAACAAGTGAACAATTTGAAGAATCTGTTTTTTATTTTTTATTACAGGCATAAAGAAAATGCTAATGGATGCTGCTTTTTCTTGGAACGGTTTGAACTTTTTGGCACAATATGATGAGAGCTCTCAGGAGACAAGGTGTCAAACAGGTAGCAGATCAGCTTCTCAGCCTGCCGGAGGTGAAACAGAAATCATTATTATAGGTGATTATGCATAAACAACACATCTTAGCATAACATTACACCTTGATATTTCTTTAAAAACACAAACAGATCTATTGGGACTAATGAAAGGACTTCAAGAATGAAAAAGTATAATTTTCCTGACCTCTTTCTCATTCTCTGGGTATATTATCATTTGGCCCACTTTATCCAGGTCTGGTCGCTCCTTGTTAATGCTGCTGCAACAAAATAAGGCACACGGGGGAAAAAAGGGTGATTGACATGTAAATATTCATGCTTGTACATTAGGTTTGAGTTTTCTTCTACCATACTTTTCAAGGCGCAGGTTCAGTCGGGTCGCGACGTTCTCCCCTTGCAGAGCCAGGATGAGGCAGGGCGCCATGTTAAGTTGAGCCATCTTTAAGAGACACACAAAAAAAAAAAAGAGACCAGAGAAAAATCAACCACTGATTGCTTTATTTTTGAGAAAGTGCACTTCTATCAAGCCCAGGCTGCTCACCCTTTCATTTCCTCTTGATGACACTTGCAGGGTCTCTGTAATGTGTTTCCTCTGCTTGTTATCCAGTACACTCATCCTCCCTGCCACCAGATAGCAGCCTGACCTCAGCAGCAGCCCCAGCAGCTCCAGCTGGGAAGACTCGTGGCTGAGGGGTGGAGCATCAAAGGGGACCAGCAGACAGGTTGTCTGCCAGTAAGCTCTGTGTACCAGGGACCCTGGTAACAACAAACAAGCAAAACAGGACATTTGTTTTCTGTTTGGTTTACAAAGTTCATCTGGAACTGAGTCATAGTTCAACATCCATCCTGGAGGAGTCCCTGCCAAAGTCAGAATAAATGATTAAGTTATTCAAATCGGCCCATTTCGCTTGTGCAACACTGTCAGAATGCTTAGTGAGCACACTTGAGAATTTGATAGCAACAAAAATGCGATCTAAAACACAGATTAACCAAAGACTTAATAATTAAGAAAAACAGGCAAGTAGTCCAAACCTTTATTTGGACCTGATTCCAGGGAAAGTGGAAGATGCTCCTGGGCAACAGGGGCCAGCGTGCATGTCTGTTCACGCTCCGCAGACGCCACAGAGTCTGAACACAAGCTGAATATCTGAAACAAAGGAACCACAAACGCAGCATGTCCTTCTTTTATTTGATGAAATTGCATTTCAATTACACTAACTCCTGAATGTGACGACCCAACCTTCTCCTGTGTCATTGTGCTGCTCTCGGCACAGCAGAGCCCTCCTGGAAAAAGCTTCTTCACTTCCTCAACTGCTTTCTGATATGATCCAGAGCCTGTCACATTGATAATGAAAGATTTTCATAAATTTGTATTTATACAGCGCCAAATCACATCATCATTTCTTTCCAAGACACTTTACATAATACAGCAGGTCTACACTGTGTGCTTTATAAAATATACCATAAATAGACCCAAAATTAATCAACCAATGAACACGCAGGAAAAGCTTTCACGGGACAGACAGACAGGAAAAAGTACAGATAGCAACAAAAATGAGCAATAACAACAATAATATAATTAAACGCAATGTGCAGGTTATTTGTTTGGCACAGATACACAATCCTGTCCTTGAATATGTACCAGTATTCAGGACAAGTCACCTACCATAGATCGGATTATGAGCTATGGCCGAGCACGTCATCCAATGAGATGAGTCCAAGTGGCCAATCACGTCCAGCAGCCGCCTCACAGAATCCTCCCCCTCCAGACAGAGAGCCAATGAGGAGCCAGAGCACAGGTACTCCACCTGGGCCTCCAGATCTGTTGTATCCTGCACAGAACACAACTACCACTCTAAGGAACAACAAGGCTAATGTTGTTTTTTTAATGTAGCTTTTTAAATTGAAAGTTTTCAGTTACACTTTCTGCAGGCAGTATACAGGCAGCAGTGCTTTTTTCCAGTGTGAACACACGCAGGCCCACCACCCTGAGACCACTCTGATGGAGTATGTGGACCGCTGCAGACACCAGGTGATACCAGCTTCTGGGCTTGAACAGGCACACAGTGAGCTGCCTCTGTGGATCTAAACAGAAGAAAGTGTGTCACTGTTACAAAAGCTTTTCATATCAATAAACCTTGTTATTATGTGCACGACATATCTAATTTACACATTACAAAAGTCAACTTCACTATGATTGGCAACACTGTTTTTAGAGTGCACATAAACTCCAACTGAGATCGTGGTTACACATCAGTGTTGTAGTGCAGTTTTCCACGATTAAACAAGAATTCTGAACTTCAAGAAATGTCACTCCGATTTTCACTTGAGTACATTTGATCTAAACTGTGACATAAAGATCGCAAAACATACAACAAATGGGCAAAGACAGTTTACCAGTTTTTTTATCTCTCTAATATTCAACAACAGAAATGTTCAGGTATGAAATTCCAATACAAAAATGTAGATTCTTCCTGTTTTACACAAACCTTTGGTACTGCAGATTTGGGGGGAAACGTTCAGCTGTGATAGTTTGCTTTGGTCTGAAGAGGTTCAATGAGATAAATTAGAATCAGCTGTGATGGTGTTGAATACTATCTGAAAATGTGATTTTTGCACCCTTCGGCCGACCTACCAGGGGTCATCTCGTGCTCAAGGAAGAAGACAGAAGCTTGTCTTGAAGCTACTTCAGGTGTGGCTGACATCAGTACACTGAGGTTACCGGGGTAATCGTGAGGTAGGTGCTTCTTTAGAGACGAAAAGGCCTCCACCCGGCTCAGAGCGCACACAAGGACGGGGGAGGACATCAGAAAGTTCACGCTGTCTACACATAGCCGCTCTCCTACCTCGTATGGAGTCAGCTCCTTAGCCTGATGTTGAGTCAACGCAGGCAGAAACTTCAGGCTAAGCAGCTTGAAACCTGCAAAGTAAAAAAACAAAAACAAACAGCAGCTGTGTATTTTGTTTTGTTTGTGCCAACATGCGCCCAGTGTTCTCTGAACATCACCCACCTTTTGGCCTGGCTGTCAGCACTCTGTGTAGGAGGCTCAGGCCTTTGCTCATGTCCTTCCCACACAAGGACAACATCACCACCTGCTCCGTGTCAGAGGTGGAGGAACACTTGTGGCAGGACAGGATCACACGGGAAGGATCAGGCAAAGCCCACATTTGCTTAACTAAAAAAAAAAAAAAAAAAAGGAAAATAAACACAGGAAGTTTTTAAAAAAAAAAGGACCAGTTTTGGGGCATGTGCTCAGACGTCCCTGCACAGTGAACAAACAGTGTTTACCAGAGATACAGGCCAGCTCACTGCTGTAAGGCACAGTGTGGTAACACAAGTCTGCTCCTACTGTGTCAACACCATCCAGCACCTTAACTTCTCTCATTAGGGCTGAAACAAAATGTAAAGTTAATATTTAAAAAAAAGTTATAGATATAGAGACGATTTATTCTGTGTACATAATCTCTGATGCAATATGGACCTGCTGGTAAGCTAACACCGTGGTGCACTGCATTTTCTTTCCTCAGGATCAACAGCAGGCAGCGAGAGTTGGGAAGCTCCTGTTCCTTCTGATCCAGGATCACATTGTGTTGGCCGCAGAAAACAAGTGCCTGGAGATAAAAAAAAAAAAATACAAAAGCTTTGGACTGTGATGACCCAGAAGTTATGGGACATGTGGAAAAAATAAGTCAAATTATTTTTCATGAAGGTTCAATAAGTTCTACTTTGTTTTCTTCTACCTGCTGATTGCTGAGTCCAAGCACATCAGCGGCATGGCTCTGAAGCTGCAGTCTTTGCAGCCCCATAAGACCGAACCCTCTGCGCTCGCACACAGCCAGAACTTGGCCGTAGCAGCACGGCGGCACGACCGGCGACACCACGAGGAGTAAATCAGCTGTGCAGGGTGAAGAGAAGGATTAAGCAGCAGCGCCACTCAAGGACAAATCTTTACAATGACAAAAGTTACAATGAAATAATGATAGTTTTGGGGACCTTGGAGAGCCACTGTACCTTTGGTTGTTGCACACAGAAAGGAAGGTGAATTGGACATTCTGCCTTTGTCTCTGTTGTGTGCAGGTGTGATTCTACAGATACAAGGGAGGAAGAATGATTTGAGAACTATTACTTTCAGGTTGAGATTATTCTATCATCATACTGTTAAATTAAGCATCTTGGAAGGTGTCAGTGTTTTACTTTTCTTATCGGATAATGATTTTGAAAGATGAAAGACTTTGTAAATGAAGTACTAAGCGAGACTAAGCATTCATTATTTTTGTTCTCAGTCATATTTGGTTGAAAAGTCCTAAGAGTTGAGATAGAGAACGATAGAATTGGTAGCTTGCATTGTTTGAGGTTTGACAACGAACCCGTTCAGAGGCCGGTTGTGCTTCTGGGCTTTTTTTCCAGGAAGTCTCCCTGAGAACCACAAGCACAGCTCTCTGTGGACTTGACTGGCTAGTTGAGGGGAGGACAGGAAATGACGTTGCTGACTTCCAGAAGTGGACTCCCTTGGCAGAAAAAGATCCAAGGACCTGGTTAAATCTCGGAAAACTGAGTGGGCATGAGGGCCTCGAACAGCCAGGGCAAGAACAGGACGGCAGATCTCTGGATCAATGCTCTGGAGGACTGGCTCAGCACCTATGAAGAGGCCGGGGAGAGTTTTTTAAAAAAAGGGATAAAGGGAGTGTGCCAATCCATGGATCCATCAGAACGACAAAGCCAAGAGGAGGGTTATTGAGGATTTTACAACTTAGTGGCTCTCATCATGTCCTACCAGTGCTGTCATTCTGTAACTTCTGTGCTGAATGAAGGAGCCGCAGACCGCACACATCCAATCCAGAGTTGAGAACAAGCAGGAGGGTGTAGTGTGTAATGAGAGGATCCAGGAAGAAAGCTCTACACCCAAGAGCCACTGATACCTACAACAAATCAGGTGTTTTTTTTCCACTTCAGTGTCTCTTGTGAAGTACACCTCTGAAGGAGAACATGCTCACCTCTGTGTGCAGCTCCAGGTTGGAATCTCTCCCATTACAAACATTCTCTTGAGATTCGACTGTCTGCCAGTAGAACCCTGGACTTAGACCAAATGTCTTATCTATACGCTGCAACACACGGGAACAGAATACACACAGAACATAATGCAACATCATATATTGTGTGTGCTTGAAATTCTATGCAATGATATTATCTCACAGAAGGGGCACCTTTTTCTCAGAGGAGGTGGAGATAAAAGAGTTTAAAGAGGAAGAGGGCAGATGGACGGTTGAAGCGTAGCATTCTCGGTCCAGCAGGATTTGCAGCTGAGGCAGCCAGAAGGCAATAAGAGGGAGTGTTGTCTCAGAGAGGAACCTGCACACCTGGGTGTAGAAAAGAGGGTGGACGTCTCTCTGCTTCTTCTAGAAAGAAAAAAAAAAAACAACAACGAAAAAGAAAAATGATGAACAATTATGAAGCCATAAGAGGAAGTATCTTTTCATTTCATTGTCTATTCACATTCGGTGTATAACTGTGGCGAGCCACAGCTAAGACATGCAAAGCCAGGCCATCCTCGGTCCACTGCTGCTGAAGTCCCGCCACCCAGAATGGGACCTTTGCACCAGCATCATCCTCATCGTGACATGAGTTCGGGCCAACCTAGTACACATTGAAAAATGGATCCTTACGTTTGTGGTGAAGTGAAAACTAATAGCAAGAATAAACTGGGAAAGAGAAGCTCCCGTTCACTCACCAGAGACAGAAACCAGGCCACCAAGGTGTTGTAGATGTGTGATTTGGTTGCGGCTGGATACAGGTGACCTCCATCTCCAACCATACCAGGACCGGAGAGGTTGACTATCAGTGGCATACACACCTTACTTTTAATATCTGCTGGCAGTGTACTGACTTGCTGTAGATGAGATGCTTCCTGAAAAAGAAAAGTTCTAATACGTTTTTTTCTTTTTGTAACAAAAGTAATGTGGGTTTATCGTTCTTCTTGTTGTTGCACTTACAGAATGATAAAGAGTATCAGTCATTTCAGCAGCTGGCTGCCTCTGATTGACACATGTAGTTGGACGGTGTCTTTCCAGCTGCTTAAAAATGAGGTGGTGGTGTTCATGTTGTGAAGTCTGCCCGATTTGTCGTCCCTGTTGGTCACTAACAAAATCCCTGTTGTGGTTAAAATCTATCATTTCTTAATTATCATTTATGTGTGGCGCGACTGCAGACGAATTACAAACCTCTGGTGCTTCTGTTTTTCCATTTTACCGCCATGATTTGTTTTTCTGCCACCCAATTCTGGGCCTCTGCACTCAAACTGTGCATGTGACGGTTGTTTTTCTTCCTTGAGATATTGCGACTCATGGCTTATGTTGAACTCGAGAGGCTTTAGATTCTCGTGCAGTTGTCCTGCTGCCTTACTTGGAAGTGAATGTAATGAATCCTTACACATATTTTGATGAATATTCCCATTGTTTTTTAATTCCCTCATTGTCCGCAGCAACATACTCTTGTCAGTCATGTCCCTGAAAACAGATAAATGACAGAAATAAACTGAAAAACAAAATGTACAAAAGCATAACGAAACGCTTCGGAAGTAAGATCTACTGTGTTTACCTGCCCCCCACTTGTGATCCAGTTTGCACTTTAAGATTCTTTGCAGGTGGTTCTTGGTGATTATTGTGCTTGGCTGGTGACTCAAACCCCGATGAAAGATTTTGTGATGGTTTTGGTTGTTTTATTAAAGGATCAGGGCTACGCAGGTCAATATAAACAGTAGGACATTCCTGCTGGCTCCGCTGACGCTCTGTTGATTTGCTCCAAGCCTTTTTCTGTCTGCATGAAAATGTGGTTATTCATTTTATCTTACACATTGTTCACAACACCTTCCATGTGATTTGAATTACCTTATTGGGTTTTGACTTTTCACAGGCTGAGATGATCGACTCCTCAGGAAAGCTACTAGTTTGTCCATTATGTTCTCTTGGGACTCATCCTTGTTGCTATCTGAGGGGGGGGGGGGGGGGAAGTCAATTTGAAACTATAAAACAAGATGATACACTCACTTTTATTTGGAAAAAAAAACCCTTAATCGTTCGTTAAAGTAACAGATGTGTCTTTTATTTACTAACTTCCATGTGTTTTCACAGGTTCAGCTGACACATGTTGTGGAATAGTCCGCCCGTCCTCTGTCAGATTCTGGAGGACATGGTCTAAATCCAAGTGGTCAAGCCTCTGAAATAAGTTTTATTTTTTAATTAGAGCACATATCTGATCAAATTCCCTACCTAGGTTTGACCTCTCACCCGTATTATTCCAAACTCACCGCGAATGACAGAACAGGAAAACCCTCGTTCGATTTTTTGCTGTCCACACTTTCTTTAACAGAAGCATCACGTTTCTCTTCATTCCACTCCACATTGGCCCCATCCCAAGCATCTGCCTTTATGGTGAAATAAGAAAAATAAGAAAAAGGGGAGAAATCCCTGCCCTTACATCGGGCTGTGATTCTTCAGAACCCACAATTGCATCAGCATGTTGTGCAGCCCTCTCTGCTGCACTAGCATCTTTTACTATTTCATCATTATCAAAGTTCACAATCTGGCTTAAAGTATCTTTCGACCAGGATTTAAGTACTGCAGGCTTCAACAGCTCGAAAAAACACAACCATATAAACACAAAGGTAGGCCTATCAATTATTATCATGTCTTTTTCAGGCTGGTAACATTACCAAGTTACCACTAACACTCTTGAGACTTTAATAAACTTACCTCAAAGTCTTCATCTACTGAAAAACTGTTCAGGTCAGAAGGGACCTTCAGGGACAGGCCAGCTGGTCTTTGATATAAGGTGACAATCTCTTCATTATCTGACTGTAACGTTAAAAGAACCATTATTTGTATTTGTCATTAATGTTATTGCTCTGTAAAGATCTAAAAAGAAGACTTATAGGTGGATCAACATACCGCGGATGAATCAGAGTCAATGGTTGGAATAAGTGGTCTCACTTTCTCCAGAATTGAATCCCAACATGACGAATGATTTAAGTCCATTCTTACCTGTCAGGACTAAACCTGAAACTAAGATAAATGAGCTTTTAATGTTACGCTTTTGTTTATAGGCTTGAGTGCAATATCTAAGGACCCCCTTGTTACCACTGGCAACGGAAAGCTACTCATTTCAGGCACGTGTACTTCGACAACAATGCTCCCTTCAGGCGCTGTCGGATATATCGCCGCTAGCTGAACATGGGCCTCATAAAGATTTTTTTTTTTTTTTTACACACTTGCTGTTACTGTTCTGAAGGGAGAAAGGGGAAGACACTTAAGGTACGTTTAGCTCAGTAGTCGGCACAAATGTATTGTTTAGCTGTGAATCGTATGAATAAACACTGAGAGACCTTTTGAAATACAGCTTTATTGTGCTAAGTGAAAACGTGTGTTCGGCAAGCAAGCTACCTAACTATGGTTACTAAAAAATAAATGTAGTTTGAACATGACAAGCCTTTACTGTTTCCCATCCAGCTTTTATTTTGTTTATTTGTTTATTTTCGATGTGGAACCTTTTAATATCTTTGAAACGTTCACATTTTAAGAAACACTGTGCTGCATTCAAATCAATGGTTTAGCAGAGTGTTGTGTGGGTAGTATGGCCTACTCTGTAGAGTCAACAGGTTAAAACCAACACACACTGATGTGAAGAAATGTTTCCATGAGAACTTTTCTACACTCAACAAAAGACACACAAGATATGTATTTGTATGACATGGGCAGATATTCCCTTTTGCCTGTAAATTGTGCCAGTGCATTTTAAACCTTTCCAATTACAGAAATAATTAACTGATTTATTGCTAAATTGCTTATCTGCTAATACTTTTTAAAAAAAGGGTAGTGAAATTTTATTTTGGCGGATACATGAATATTACACTTTATGCAGAAGGATATATTTTTCCAATTGCTAAATGTCCGTGGTACTGGCTAGAAATATTTTTGAATGTTTTCCCTAATGGTTATATCTTTTCTTGTCAATTTAAACAGAGGGACATTTCAGGTGGCTCAGATGCAACTCTATAAATTACAGAGTTGCATCTGAGTCACCAGCATCATATGTGATGGTTTGTTCCAAGCATTTCAAATGCATCAAAAATTTAAAGTCCCACTATCTTTGAGAAAGTTGTGTTCTTATGAAGTTCCTGCTATCCCCATCCTAAAATTCTACAAACTCAAACTAGTCATTTCTCACTCCCCAATACCAATTTGAGTAGATTAAAGATATAATCTCATCCCCATTTTTGGCAGAGGTTATTATACCATATGTTGCATTTTACCACTATTAGACATTATGACTCTATTGAGCTTAAGTAAAATAAATACTGCTTGTTTTTTTGTTGGTTTTATCATAGTATTATCATAGCATCTCTCAAATATTCATGTATTTAACATTAATTACACAGAATAAAAACAATTTGTTTAAAAAGTAAACAGGAAAAAAATAAACTTAATAATGCATGCATAATATTTGACACCATAAAGAGATCGTTCCTTGTGAATGAAAATACTGGAAGTTTATTGCATGTACAGCTAAAAGTTTGAAATTGAACACTTAATGAATTAAAGTTGTTAAAAATATTACGGGTTAATAAAATGTTCTCTTTGATACCAACTGATTCCTGACACATCTGAGCATGTTTGTCTAGCAGTTTTGGAAGTGTTCACTATCAATATCCCGCAGGTCGTGTCCAGCTAGATGTGGTGGGCTGGTGCATGTGATGTTGTTGTATATGGTGATAGTTGTGTCAGGTTCTTCACCCTCAGCGTGGGTCTCCACTTGCCGAGGTATCACCAAGGGATTTCTTAAGCTGTAGTTTCTGAGTGGGAGGGCACTGCAGTCACATTTCCAATGGTTTCCCGACAGCAAAAGCTTTTCCATGCTCTCGGGGAAATCAGGGACCATGCTTGTCAAAACATTAGCCCTCAGGTCAAGATAACGCATCCTTGGGAGAAGCTGCGTTGTGCCGTTCTGCATAAACTGTTGACATTCGTTGTTGGACAACAGCAAGTACTCCAAATTCTTGAGACCAGAGAATGTATGGGGTGTAAGAACCTCTAACTTATTGAAAGACAAGTCCAGTCCCAGTAGGCCCACTAGGTCCACAAAGCTTTGTCGTTCCACCACTGAGATGTTATTGTGCTGCAAGAAAAGTCTCCGTAGACCAGAAAGTCCAATGAAAGCTTCAGTTGTAATCCTTGTTAGGCAACCTCTGTCAAGATGTAGGCTGTGGAGCTTTGACAGACCTTTGAAAACTTGGTCTGGCAGACTGTGGAAGCAGCTTCCTGACAGGTTTATGACAGCAACGTGAGAGAGGCCTGTGAAACTACCCACTTGGGCCTCTTGCACTTGGTTGTGCTCTAGCTCTAAGACCTCCAGATGACCAAGCCCTTCAAAGATCCTTTCCCCTAGGGCTCGGATTCTGTTGTAGCTAAGCCGCAGCTCCTCCAAGTACTGCAGGTCACGGAAAGTCCTGGGTCTAATTCCAGTGATGGTGTTGTTGGAAAGACGCAGGACATGAAGACTGTGCAGGCCCATGAAGGTGTCGTCATGGAGAGACGTCAGTCTGTTGTTCGTGAGATCCAGCCATCTTAGTGACTTCATGCCCACAAAGGATCTGGGTACCACCGTCACAATCTGGTTCTGGGCAAGGTAGAGCTTCTGCAGTTTAATAAGTTTAACAAACACATTGGCTTTGATGACTCTGAGGTGATTCCCAGTCAGATCCAATTCTTTAAGCTCGACAAGATTCTGGAAAAGCTGGGGCTGCAAGTAAGCGAGCCTGTTCCCTGCAAGAACAAGCTCCCGTAGACCTGGCAAGTCCTGGAAAACTGTCTCAGGTAGAACCGCGATTGAGTTCCAGCCTAGGTTGAGAAGCCACATATGTGAGAGTCCCGCAAACAGTGTTTCCTCAATACGAGTGAGCTGGTTGTTATGCAGACTAAGTGATGCAAGGTAAGGTGTATTCTGGAAGATTGTACCAGGTAACGTCCGCAGCCGATTTCGCTCAAGGTGAATATGCGCAAGTGACCTGAGTCCTTTGAAAGCCTGAGGGTCAATTGTCACCAGTTGGCCACTCTGAAGATTCAAAAAGTCCAGGTTAGTAAGATCCTTAAAAGATGATGCCGGAAGGGAGGTGAACAAGTTGCCGTCCAGCCAGATCGAGTGAGTGGATGTGGGCATGTCGGCCGGAACTTGCGTGAAGTTGCGAGCACTGCAGTACATGTTGAGCTCCAAGCTGTAGTCGTCATGCAAACAGGTGCAGCCTTTAGAACATGGAATAGGTTCTTCTGTCGCTCTATCCCCAGCTGTGTCGGGGTCTGGCAACACCAGTGATGTTCCCAGCACCCACAATACCAACAGCACAGTGGTGTGCATATTAGCTGTGTATAGAATAACATAAAATGCAAATTTTAAGAAACATTTTTAAATTCAAAACACAGAAGGGGAATAAAATGGCATGCAGTGATCAAAATTCAGTTTTATTCAGACATTTTAATTTGCTTACCGTTAATCTGAGAGGTCTTGATTTCAGGTAGACGGGCTGTGAAAGACTGAATGACTGAACCCTGTGCAGTTTGTTTGAATGCTGAATGGAGCCTGCTAAGCCCCTCAAACCTTTTTTTTTTTTTTTTTTTTTTTTTTTTTTTTTAAAAAGAACTTGCACTCTGCACTTAACCCATTTCTGTCCCTCAAAATTGTGGTGCTGGTTTCAGTCACTTTTTTCTACTCATAGTTGCCTTTCTTTTGGTTTTCAACCAGTATCAGCTTTGATCATTTCAATAAATTAAGTTGGTGTCCTCATTGGTAATATAGTTACACAGGCTGTCAATGGAGAAAATACTTTATCCTTGATTAAATTTTGACCATACATAGATCAACGGAAATTGAATGTATATGTACCTCAATCAAACACATTTTGCATATCTTGTATTGACATTTTATTAAGGTATTCTGTGTAGGTGGCCTTTGGTCTTTACTAAGCCAGGGTGCTGTCACTGAGTGCATTTGCTCTAGATTTTAACTGATTGACAGTGGTTAAGAGATAAGAGGAACCCTGTGCACTAGACTGTTTACTGAATTTAAGACATGTTATTGAATCTTCGATTTTTCGCTCAACATTTTAAGAAAGTTGCCTGTAACAAGAAGATAACTTCCTGCATCAAACTCAGAAATACAGTTCCCATAAATTGTAAATTGAATTATGTCCTTGCCAAAAACAAATTTAATATGAATTAAATTAACCCATAAAGCACCATCAATGAACTCCATAATACATTCATAAAAACTGTTATGCCACTGACATTTCTGTTTCATTCACTTATTTGACAGAGACACATGAGGTCAGTTCCAGAGGTCCATTCCCTAATCACATCTGTGATTGTAATGACTAACTTTCTGTGGACTCCTTTTCTTGGTATCTGGGTTCTTTTAGCCAACCATGAACTGGTCATGTACTAAAGGACAACCAAATCCAGATAACACTGTTTGCTTGCACATGAATTTTATTGATTGGCTTTCCAACAGTGGATCCATTACAGTATTAAGAAAAATCACCATTACTCTAAATATCACCTCAAAAGTGTTATCAGGTAAGCTGGATAATTAATGCACAGGTTACAATCAGTGGACTCACTTGTCAAATGCATAACCTTTCAAATAATGAGATTTGGATTGAAAGTATTGACCTTTGTTTCAATCATAATCCAACACAGATTAAACAAGATGTAAGATTACATTCCAGTTTAGCTTTGACTATCAATTTACAATCAATATTCTTAATGTAAAATTACCCTTAATTAGATTTGCATGAGTAATAAACAGTGTTTCTCAAGTATCATCTGTTCCCTGTATCGAAATGTAGAACATTTTGTGATCTACTTTTTAAATATTGACTCTAACCGGCATAAGAAATGTAACATATGAAATAACCATTATAGTGTTCTCACTGACATCTTTGTTAATATGCGTATGTCACAGACTGAATAAGCTTAATTTCAGTGATCATGTAGAAAAATGAGCTCCACTGCGAACATTTTAACATCTTATTTTCCTTTGATTTTTTTTCCTGCCAGTAGAGAGCGCTGCTGGTCTTTTTTTGTACAGCTCTGGGCCCAGCAGTTTTGTAGCTGTATGTGGATTCTCTGTTGGCTTCTCTTTGTTTCCTTAGTGCTAAATAGAGTATGACCAAAAGGGATGAGCTCTTTATCGACATCATACAACCACTTCAACTGTCAGTTAACAGCAGAGACCTTAGAGTTCTTACTTTTTATTGGCTCAACAATTGAACTGTAGTATGGTTATTGTTGCATCATAAAATACATATAATAATAAAAAAATGCCATTAGGCTAACAGGGAAATAAAAAGTGGCAGTTTTAAATGCTATATTACAAAAAAAATCCTAACACTGAGTGGTGCCATAGTGAGCTGTTCCTCCATAGTGTCTTCCTTCTCCAGCACCTCTAATTGGCTCATTCCCTGGCTCATTTCTCCAGGTTTGTCAGGTGCTGTGTGTCTCCTGAGTGCAGAAGAACAGTCTTCATAGTTATTGGGATGGCCTGCTGCAGTGGCTGTATGTGTTTGACTGGGCTCCTGCCTTGCTTCTGGAAGGACGAATCTGTCAAATATTTCAGGACAGATTTTTTGTGCTTCCTCAGCAGTGGAGAACAGCCCTGACAGGCACGATGTCAATCCAAATTGGATGGATGCATGCTGATCAGTGTTGAAACCCATCATCATGTCTCCTCTGCTCTACTGCCGGCAAATAAATGTCAAGGAACTCTTTTTTGCAGAATTTGAAGGATGAAAACATAAACAGTCGGTTAGACATTTGTCTTCAGTTTGATACTACGTTTGTGTAGTGCATCTCTTTTTATTGATAGAATTGTTTGATTATTGCCTTTGTCAAGCATGATCTGGTAATTTACTCATCTTAAGCTGATCTTTGTGTTTATTGGGGACCAAGAATCTGATAGGTTGGTTAAACACTTAACACAAATACATAATGTATATACCCTCTATTGGAAAAATAATATCTTTAGCCATGGATCAACTTCCAGTTAATACTGACACAAGTAATTGAGAGATAATGCTAAAAATCAGAGACACAGATGTTAAAATAAGTCATTGACCCCATAAAAAGTTCAATTTTGACTCATGCATCATGCCTTTTGAGGCTGTTATCAAAGTATTTACACTCAATTTACAGTCAGTGCTGATTCTCCTTTCTTAAAATGATATGACTTTTCCAGTTATCTTGTCAGGGGAAAAAAAACATGAAGATAAACTAGAGCTAAATATCTCTTAAGTTTATCTCACAGTCCTTTTTAAGCGAAAAAGCCAAACACACTATACAGAACAATCTTCAGCGAAATGCAAATGTTTGTTTTTCTTCTTCACAGAATTAAAGTGAGACCTCTCCAGCTCCCCCCCCCCCTGCTTACACAGATGCAATTTCGTTACTCTATACCTGTATATGTGTAATGACAATAAAGTTGAATCTCATCTCATCTCAATAAGTGATGACAGGTATGTGGAACTGGCTGTATATTTTTCTGCTTCTCAAACATAACCTTCTTATTTCATTGTGAATAACAGCAGGCTCAGTCAACACTGACATCAACTGGCAGATTGTTGGGCCATTATCCCTTCACTGAGCAAAGAGAGACATATCTTATTCGAGATGACAGCTTAAAACAGGCTTGTTCAGTGGCCCTGCACAGCACTCACAGCGAAGTGTCGGTGGTTCAGCAGTGCTCTAAACCCTGGTGCTACCTCAAACCCTTTGACAGACAAAGACCCCTTGACACCCCTGCGGAGTCTATTAATAACACTCCAAGCTCACAGATAACTCGCTGCTCTCGAGGAGGAGAGATAATCCATCGCAGCGTCTCGACATGTGGAAAGTGCCGGAACTCAGACACTGATTCTCAATTGATTGTGATCACTGTGACCAGAACAAATCATTGGAGCTGATTACCCTATATCCTTTTCAGATGCACGAAAAAGGCTGCGGTCAAATCCTGTTTGGTCCATGCATTTAAAATATGACATTCATGATTTTCAGAATACACCTGAAATAGGTGTTTTTGCTTTTGAATTATTTGAACCTTTACACTCAATGACGTCTTTCCAACTCAGTGTTTATATGATTCTGATGAGACATGCATCCCGTTTAAACCAGGGGGAGGAGAGCGCGGGGAATTAATTTGGGATTTAGTTAGTTTTATTAGAAAAAAACAAACAATTTTGGGGGGGTGCTTAAAAATTATATGAAGATAAAGGCTTTAGTGTTTTATTCAGTCTGAGGAGTTTGCATTCTAGAGGGAGGAATAACAGAATTAAAATACAAGAGGCTGTGGCTCAGTTGGTAGAGTCGTCATCTCACAACCAGAAAGTCGGGGAGCGGGGGTTCGATCTCCAGCTCCTGCAGCCAAATGTCCGATGTGTCCTTGGGCAAGACACTTAACCCCAAGTTGCTCCTGCTGCTTTGTCGGCAGCTGATTAGTTACTTTCGATGGTCACTTTACATAGCGACCTCTGCCATCAGTGTGTGAATGGATAGATGTGACCTGTGGTGTAAAAAGCTCTTAGATTAGTCAGAAGACGTGTTGCATCATTTTGATGCTCTTTCTTTTATGTTCTTTAGCCTCTCTGTTGCTCATACAAAGTGTTGCCTGTTTATCTAAACACCATAGCCTTGAACATGAAGTGAATTTGTTCAATCTTCAAATTATATTTTACTGTCTATATTGGTAGTATGAATCCAAATGAGTAGTCCTGACTCTCGTAAACAACTGAAACTGTCAATTTGTTTGCTTTAAAAAAAAAAAAAAAAGATAATTTTTCTAATTAAACACTTAAATGTTGTCTCTGTATCCGCCTGTCCTGTGAAGGTTCCCCAGCGGATTAGTAGCATGGATAGAACTCCTCACTTGGATGAACAACCTTGAACACACAAATATACAATGTCAGCGTTTGAGGTGTGAAAGTAGACGGGTAAGAGAAACTTCATACATTCCAAAACACACCAAACTGTGTCTGGCTTGGCTGCCAGGTTTTTAATCATAGAGGAGACATGGGCCCATTGAAAGCAGCTGATGAAACCTGGGAGAAAACATTTGCAGCCTCTTTCATGGTTTTTCATTTGTTTGTTCAAATGAGATTTGAGTCCATCATTCATTTGAAGGGCATTTTGTGGTTTGTTTATGAATCAAACCTTTGTGTGAGAATATAAAAAAAACTTGACGTGTCATTTTTGGGAGGGTGTCTCAGAAAAGACGCTGATAAATGCAAGGCTACATTCTTGTGTTGTGGTCCTTTTTTTTTTTTTAACCATACTGTGCAAAGAACTTTTTTTCATAAGCCCTGCACTTCTGTCTGAATGCCATTTTCGAGGCTGAGCATTTCAATTCCCTGTACAGCTGTGTCCAGGAGCAAAGTGATCCACTTTAGCAGGCCTGGTCTGTCACATCTTCATATATCTCAGCCAAACAGGACATGCATATATATACACCCAGCTAGACTCAGAAGAGGCGGAGTCAGGAAACTTTCTGTCAAAGTCTGATCAGATCT